TAATAATCATCGAATAAAATCAATTTATTTGGTACTGAAATTAGAATTCCGTGGGTCCCACAGCATCAGCGTAGGTCTTGACCTTGGGAATGGAGTACACGTTGTCCACGACCTTCTGGAAAACTGGGTACTTCTTCTCCAGATCAGGTATAACCAACAAGTTCTTGATGTATTCGAACATACCCGCGAAGACAAAGTCTCCCCAAGTCAGCTGGAACAGAACTTTTATTTAAGTATAGGTGGCAATGTGGCCAAGGACTGTGGCTATTAGTGTCTTAAAGTGTTGACCGTACTCTCGTATCATTTTGGGTCGTGGTAACGTTCAAAATATAAGGTGAATCGATAATCTCAATTATTATGAAAATACATTAAGCCTACAGACATTTCAGAACAGGTGTAAGCCGGATTATAAGGCCAATAATTGTCATATTAGAATCTGCCTGATGGGAAATAGACCATTCGCTTCACGTGACAAATAATTACAATTTAGAACATTATGAGTCTTTCGAGGTACTATTGAAATTTTACCTTTCCAAGAGCAACGTGGCCGTTGTTCTTAGAGATGACTTCATTAAGTTTCTTCAACAAGTTGGGTAAGTCATTCTTGTTAAACTCAGCGTATTTCCTTTTCTTCAGAGCCTCGTCTTTTTCGTAGTATGCAACCGCAACTTCTAAAAATGCATTCAAATCAAGGTGTTATTACCTTTGAAGTAGAAAACTTGTTATATTATTCTATAATTAATTCTTAGTTTGTATATTAATACCAAGTCAAATCATCTGAAGCTGTCAAGCGTAATCTTTGAATAAAGAACAGTTACGGTAATCTTTTTTCCCCTTTGACATTGATACAAAAATGTAACAAAGACACTCACTTGAACGAAGGTCGTTGATGAGGTCGACGTTCTGGTCGATCTCCAGAGCATCCTCGAGGGAGTCTCCAGCCAGACCGTACTTGTTGCCGAGGTACCGAGCGATGGACATACTCTGAGCGTACGTCTTGCCGTCGAACTCCAGCAGTGGCATCTGCCCGAATGGAGTATCTGATAAAGAAACCATTAAAACGATGAATATACTTACTACAGGGTCTTCCATTAGAATTGTATATGGTTTTTGAATCGGTTGTATTAATTTTGAAAACATTTGAAGATCAAGAGACGATTTTGGTATAACTCCTACTTGTACACCTGATTACTTTAATACGAAATTGAAAATGGCCAAAAGAAAAAATCTCAAGTCTCAAACGTTTTAACTTACTTGGCTTAAACTTCGGCCATTCCTTGTAGGATACTCGGTTGTCTTTAAATCCTTCATCACCGAAAGCCAGCAGCAGACGCGATGGCTCACCCAAGCCCTTTCCATTAAAGTAGGTGAATACGTATTTCGGCATGTTTCTAAAACAATATATTCCAATACATTATTATCAACTAAAAACATGTAACTAACTTTTACTCTCAAAAATTCAAAAAAGTAACTTAAAGAATTTTATGAAACGAGTAAAAGAAATAAAGTAATAATAGCTGGGAAATATTTAGATATTTGTAGAAGAGAGAAAGAGAGAGAGTTAGAGCTGTGAGCCAGAACTTACAACTGGTTCTACGAGTCTATGGTGTTACCGGCTTGGTGAACAAACTGACACTGATGGGATTATGGACGCCGGCCGGCAGATATATACCCGCCTCAACGATGTGTACACCCGAATAATGATAACGCATATTATTATCTTTTAACCTCCGTCCGTAGTCGTAACTTGAACGATTTGAACGATAACTGTGCACAACAAACTGCAGTCTAATTTTTAACACTTTTTCCTGTTTTAATCATTCGTTCCGGACCCTTCCGGGCTTGGGTGTGATGAGTATGTGAAATTGTATGCTTGCTTCTACGCAACAATAAGAAAGGGATGCGTGTCCTTGATTCGCCGTGTGCGGGACGCGACCGCGTATGACTAGCGTAGACTTTCTTCGATGATAAACCTTTTTTTTGTCAAGGGAAAATCATTAAATGTCTTCTTCCGCCCAGGGTAAGGCGAGAGGAAGTGTCAGACTCCGTTCCTTCTCTCCTCCTCCTACTTTTGGCCGTGGCCGCGGTGCCTCATTGCGCTTACCCCGCAACCCCGGCGGAACATCAGCCCTATCGGGCCCCGTCTGTGGTGGTCTATTGCACCTGTTGCACCGAACAACCCCGGCTGTTCGGTGATAGACCTGCGGTGGTGATTTGATGCCGACTCATGTAGGTTAAGATGTTTGGTTTGTTTTTGTTTTGTTTGAAAATCGACTAACATACAGATTAAGAAAAAATTGTTACTCACAAAATGTGTCATGGTCACTTGAATAAATGAATTTATTGTTTTTATCAATCACGGGACCATAGCTTCGGTTGGGAGACGTGCGAGAGCCCGGAGCCAATTGAGCAGAGGCCCTTTAGACAATTTTGATCTAAAACACTCCCCGGTTAGTGTAGGACTATTGCGCATAATGGAAACGAGGGATAAAGGGTGTGGGTTACTATGGACTGGTATGATAGGAACTAAGGAAGGACTGAAGAACAATGTAAATAATACACATAAAAAAGTATAGATCTGTTGATCTGCATCACTGACCACGGCTGACGTATCATGCATTATTGGGATACTATTGTGTGTACCATTAAACAAGTTTACAATTTAAAACAAAATAAAAAAAATATGAATTCGATACATGTTTATTTACTGAGGAGAATCGTCTAAGCTTAGTCAGTGGTTCTTTTTCAAATACAGATGAAGATTAGGCTAAAAAACAACATAGGATCTGGAACATATTTGTCAGAAACTGGATAGGTTTATGTTTGCTTTAAAAAAATTAAGACAAAATGTTTGATTAGAAGCTGCTTTGTCGGCTTACCATGGTTATGTGTCATCTGTACTAAACTATGGAGTAATAATGTGGGGCAACTCGACTGATGCCGATAGAGTTTTTAAACTTCAAAAACGGTGCATCCGAGTTATTAACAAGGCGTGGTTCTTAGACAGTTGTAAACCTTTATTTCAAAAATATAAAATTCTTCCACTGCCTTGTATATATATAAAAGATATCTGCATTTTTACGGAGAAACACATGCATTATTTCAAGTACCGCAGTGAGGTTATGTCAAGGCAAAAAAGGGCTAAATTTAATAACCTACTGTATCAACCGCCTGTTCATAAAGATATCTATAAGAAAAATGTGTGTAATATGTGTATTTTGATTTATAATAACCTCCCAAATGAACTGAAATTGTTACATGGTAATCTATTTAAAATACAATTGACACAGTGGTTACAAAAAAACTGTTTTTATAGTATTAAGGAATTTATAGAATTCGGAAATAAACGTAGCTTTAATTAGTAAAATTATGTGGACGATAAAATTGTATAAAATAATTATATTAAGTGGATTTTTTTTATTAGATTCTTACATTAATCGAATTTATTAATATTGTATAATTATGATAATAACGAATTAATTGCATGACATAGATAATTTAATGACATAATTATAAATAATTTGCACGCTTGCTTGCAGGCTGAATGCAGTGACTTTTAGGATATAAGACCTTTCCTTATTAAACAATGTAATTCTTGCACTTTTGAATTTGAATTTGAATTTGAAAAAGTGGAGTTGACACCATTCAAAATTTTCAAGATTACTCGAGTAGTTTCAAGTCACATTGGGGCTCATACCATGTGCCTTCAGCGAATGACGTGACATCACGTTTATGACGACATACGCAAGTGATTCTTACATCATTCATTATGTATTATAGATTGTAACCTGATAACGAAAGACATTGAGTTCGATAATATAATGTAACATCTTTTTTTTGTTATCTATATGATAAAACTTTTCTATTTCTGGAGGTTTTGTTTATTTTTGTTAACAGGAAAAATTTAAAGTACTTTTATATGTTACGCACCCGCAAACTGGCTATTTTAATTTTTGAAATTTTTAGATTTAGATTTTGTAAATTTGTAACCATGCTATTTTTATTGTTAAACTTGATAAATTTGTAAATGTGAGTGCCCTGTAACCTATTAAAATTAGTTAAGACTAGCAGAATGTCGGTCCATATGTCAGCTTGGAGTTGTCATGCTCACTCAAAGGTCACATTGGCGGTGGCACGGTCACTGGATCGCTCGATTCCCTATATTATGGTTGAGTTGGGCGATGCTGGTGTACGTGTCATGCTCGTGAACGGGCGCCGTCAATTGGGACTGGTCAGCTCCGGACTGTCTATTGTCCTTAAGGTTATTTTCTTTTTATGTTTCTCTGTATACACGCGTTACACTGTTCTCACATATTCAAACTAACTAAATAATGTATCAAAGAATGTTTATGTGACACTGATTTTAAAAGAGTAACCATGGAGTTTCTTGCTCGTTCTTCTCCATCGGAATCTACACTTTGGAACGAGCGAATAGCTTCACTAAAAGGACTGACCGACAGACTGACACTTTGTATCTTTAAAGTTGTGTTGACATTCAAAAGTGCCTGTATGGGTCTAATTGAAATAAATAATTTTGACTTTGACTTTGACTTTGAGGGAAAAATCATCAAATTACTTTTCTCGCCCAGGTTCCAGGCCCAGGTCCAGGCCCAGGCGCCAGGGGAGAGGGAGTGTCAGACTCTTACTGATTAAACCCCTTCGTTCCTTTCTTTGCTCTAGGATGGGGTCGCGGTGCGTCATTGTGCTTATACCGCGACCCCGGCTAAACATCAGCCCTATATGGCCCCGTCTGTAGTTGTCTACTGGCAACGCTCCATACGATCGGGTTTAGTTCTGGTCGGGCGACGAGCCACCCTTACTCGCCGTCCGCACACCCGCGCTTACGGTGGCCGGAAATCATCTATCCTAGCATCAGCCCTTGTAAGGCTTATGCTTGAGATAAAAGGGTATCGAAGATGTAGACTGACTAGACTACTACACAAAACGAGGAGACATGTAACTAGTTCCTATTATCAGTATGACCTGAATCAAAAGCCAGGATGCGAGAGGTCGATACCTCCAAATCCCTAATCCCTGACAGGTCAGTATAGTCAGTATAGTTAGATTCGATGCGATAAAGTATGTTTTGTTTTAGAAAAATGCGTTTCGGTTTTCCTGCTTTCTGACGATGTATTATCCATGCACTTGCAACACTGCACGCCATGTAGGTAACTATTTGGTTTTCGTTTTCAAATCTTCTGCATCATAATTATTCCCCAGATAACTTTCATATAAACATTGAAAATTCTTAAATTATTATTTGTCTGATAATTTACGTTCAATAATTGACATTAAATTATGAAAAAAAAACTATTAAGCCATCGGCTACCTCAAAAAAAAAAAAAAATTGAAAAACTTCGTAAAATTCGACCATATATTTACTTTTAAGTAGTTTAGCATTTCTTAATTGATTTATTTGATTGATTAAAACCAGGAAAAAGTGTTTAAAATAGACTACAGATTGTAGTGAACAGATATCATTTAAGTGACGAATGATTGAGCAAGAGATTAAATGACACGCTTTATTCGGGTGTACACATCATTGAGTCGGGTATATATCTGCCGGCCGGCGTCCATCCCATCAGTGTCAGTTTGTTCACCAAGCCGGTAACACCTCAGACTCGTAAAACCACTTGTGAGTACCGGATCACTGCTCTAACTCTCTCTCTCTCTTCTACGAAGTATCTAAATATTTTAGCTTTAATTTCTTTATTTCTATTTGGTCTTTACATAGAATTCAAAAAGTTATTTTTTGAAATCTCTGAGAGTTGATGTTGGTTGCGTGTTGGTGTTTGGTGATAATGTATTGGAATATATTGTTTTAGAGACATGCCGAAATACGTATTCACCTACTTCAATGGAAAGGGTGTGGGCGAGCCATCGCGTCTGCTGCTGGCTTTTGGTGGTGAAGGATTTGAAGACCACCGAGTAGCCGAAATAGACTGGCCGAACTTTAAGCCAAGTGAGTAAAAACGTTTGGATTTTCTTGCTCTTTTTCCTTTTGGGCGTATATCTTATGAGGTTTACCAACATAGCCTTGTTTGATCTTCAAGTATTTTCAAAATAGTCACAGCTTTTTTGAAACTGATAAGTCAAAAACATTTATTCCAACTAAACCATATAAGTAAGTACAGGTACTTTTGAAACGTCGGTTCCAACAACGGGTCCGTCAATCTATTCGTCACTGAAGCTTGGTGCTTGATTTGGATCGAGCTCAAGATGGGTTGTAGATTCTATCGTTCCTCTCAATTAATACATTTTCATGTTTGTTTATCAGAAACTCCATTCGGGCAGATGCCACTTATTAAGTTCGATGGCAAGACGTACGCTCAGAGTCTGTCCATCGCTCGGTACCTCGGAAAGAAGTACGGTCTGGCTGGAGACTCCATCGAGGATGCTCTGGAGATCGACCAGAACGTCGACCTCATCAACGACCTTCGTTCAAGTGAGTGTCTTTGTTGCCATTTTCTATGAAGGAAAATAGGTAAAAAAAATTGACAATATTGTTATGTTTTCAAAGATCAATCAAATTGACAGCTTCAGATAGTTTCAGATATTAATTTTCTTAGCAGACCTTAGCAGACCAATTTGTGGCTTGCTAAATTAATTTTAGGACTCAGAATACAGAAGGAGCGTTTCTCCTTCTGTATTCTGAGTCCTAAAATTAATTACATGTACTCTAATGCATTTTATAGGAGGTGCAATTGCATACTACGAAGAAGACGAGGCAGTGAAGAAGACAAGATACGCTGAATACAACAAGAATGACTTCCCCAATTTGTTGAAGAATCTGAATGATATCATCATTAAGAACAACGGCCATATTGCCCTTGGAAAGGTAAACATAAATTACACCCTCAATCGTACTTAGAAAGAAGTAAGAATGGCACAACCATACCATCTAAATTTAAATTTTGAAGTTGTGAAGCGTGTGTTCTTTTTGCTAAAGGACAGATTATAAAGTGAACTTAACCGTGACCCAAAATGACACGAAAGAATAGTCAACACATTAACACACTAATACACGGGTTGCAAATTACAGTACGTTGCCACTTTTCCACGCATATTAAAATAAAAATTCTGTTTTAGCTGACTTGGGGAGACTTTGTCTTTGCGGGTATGTTCGACTACATCAAGGACTTATTGGTTGTACCTGATCTGGAGAAGAAGTACCCAGCATTCCAGAAGGTTGTGGACAACGTGTACTCCATTCCCAAGGTCAAGGCCTATGCTGATGCCGTGGGACCCACGGAATTCTAATTTAAGAACCAAAGAAATTGCATTTAATTCGATGACTAAATGTTGGTGTGAATTTGTTGTTTGAAACATTTTTCATCAAGATTTGGGTTATCGAAAACAGAGGCAGGGTCTAATTGTTACTCTGTACAATTTTTAATTATTTTGGTCTGTGTGTTTCACAGTTACCGTTTAGATTGTTGTTATGTTTACATTATAAGTTGTTAAAGCGCTTATGTTTATATTTTTAAATAAATAGCTAAAAATGTATATTTGTCTTCTACTATTGACTTGATATCTACCTAAAGTATGTGCAGATATGGTGACCTCAATCACAGAAACAGTCGTAGCTCAAGTAATCCTTGTATTTAGAATTTATTGTAGCACTCGGTTGGTCTGATCAAGTCATAACGTGACGATTGGCTCGTCGAACACTTAGCAAAGCTTGAAACTTGTCGAGTTACATGTTCAATCTGTTACGTCCATGCCATAAATAATTCCAGCCTAATTGCCAGCATTGAAAGTTGATGTTTCAAAATTAACCTTCTCCGTGTGAGAAGTGGCCTTTGCTCAGAAGTGGGTCATCTAGGATGATGGTGTGAATTGCAGAGATTGCAGTAGGTACAGTAGTGCTTGATGCGGTTCTGGAGAAAGTCAAAGTGATAAGATGTTTGCATGCATATGTATAGACGAGGCGACGCTAGCACGCGGTCACCGACCGCCAGCGGCCGTGAACCGAGCATTGTGTAAGTAGACGTAATTATTAGGAGATCATCAGTGCTATACCACGCGTCAGGTCACACCATTGGCATACTATTGTGTGTACAGTAGTATAAGTAGGTGCCGCTATCATTATACAAAAAAGATGTACGTTAGATGTACGTTATCATTTACTGAGGAGAAACATCGAAGCTTAGTTAGGGGCTACCCTAACTTAGCTTCGATGTTTCTCCTCAATGAGTTAGCTTAGGAGGTTATTTTTCAAATATATAATTAAAAAAAAACAACGAACCTACAAAAAGGAGGCCACTCTCCTTTTTGTAGGTTCGTTGTTTTTTAGTTATTTTCATAAATACATGATAATTAGAACAAATTGTTCAAAAAATTACTCGAATTGTTTCAAGTCACACTGGGGCTTATAAGAATGTGTTGAGTGTGCAGCGAAAGAGATGACGTCACGGAGCCAATCGACGTCGTTAACCACCTCGTATATTATTATTGAATAAAAAGAATTTAATACTTACGTTGTGTTTTAACGTGTGATATACAGGTGGCCCAATCCTCCCCCCTTTCCTCAATCCTCTAATCCCTAATGAGTTACAAGAGGCCGGCAGTGCCCTTGATGTAACTCCTTTGGTATAACGAGCGTCCATGGCCGGCGATGATTGCTTACTTACCGAGAATCCGTCTCGTTTGCCGATCTGTGACATAATAAAAAATATATAAAAAAAAATACTTTCCTTGCATATTTTAATATTGACTCACGGTTGACCCTGAAACAGCTGTACAACGTGTTCTATTTAAACAAAAAGTATATTATGGTGAATATAGACATTATGACGACATACTATAGTGATTCTTACAACATAAACATACCACACATTATGGATCTACTTACAAACTGTAGCCAAATAATTATTCTCAATTTTTGCCAGTCATGTTCTAAGTCATATGAGATAAGTTTTGTTTTTCTTATAATTTTGTAGGTATCTATTAAATTCTATTTGAAGGCACCGGGGGGTTGGTACAAACATCAACAGCCCGATCATCGTCTTCACAGTCCATTGTAGGGCGTAGGATTTTATAATCAGACCGAATAAATTACAAAAATAACGGACGTTGGCGATCCGTCTCCTATGACAGTCACAGCGCTCGCTCTCCTCCATAATGCGCACGCAGAACTGCCAGTTTGACGTTCCGCCAGAGTACGATTTATGGTACCCTCGTCCGATGAATTGTGATAAAACCTCCTTCAAAATTCAATTTAAATAATCGTCGCTCCGACACGGCCAGACTGACATTCGCTCGTCCTCGAGTGATCCTAGTTCTGTGGTAGTTCTGGAACAGAAGGAAGATTGCACGTGTATAGCGCGCTACTCGTTCATCCTGACTTACATGCGCTTTCTCAACATCGTCTGGTTACTGTACTCAACATCGATGTAACATTATCATAATTTTCAGTTGTACCTACTTCCAAAACAACTTTTCCCAAACCACTCTGATACGGCCTCAGTGATTGGTGTGCATGGACCGGATGTATGCCCCTCTACCACCAGCCAACATGCTCCGGCAAGACCACATCATCCCTTCGACCAGCTCACCAGATCACCTGCCTGGGTCAGACTAGTGCGTCCCTTCGACTAGACACCACGTGACATAGACCGGACGTCACTATCCTCCCCAATGATCGGCTACGCCAACTCACAACTATATTCACAGACATTCACGTTACCCAGATGAAACTAGGTTCAACCATCAAATCACTAATCTCTAATTTGGGAACTATCTCGCTCGTTATAGCTACAGTCGTTGGTTCAATCATATGACCACACAAATAATGAGGAAGATGACCCGTAATCACAAAGAAATGGAACTTTCTCACCCGTAGATATCTCCATCACGACTTAAGAAGCTCTATGGCCGCAAGCGTTGTCTTCTTTAAATGTTGCATAGCTGGTCTTCTTCTCTAAGCAAGCAGTAAAAACGTGGCATGAAAAACAGATGACTGCGTGCCCCTTTTTCATCCGCGTCAGTTACAAGTCGTTCTTTCGGATTATCAGATGGTTTCCCATCAAATCCCACTTCTGATGAAGGCACCGGGGGGTTGGTACAAACATCAACAGCCCGATCATCGTCTTCACAGTCCATTGTAGGGCGTAGGATTTTATAATCAGACCGAATAAATTACAAAAATAACGGACGTTGGCGATCCGTCTCCTATGACAGTCACAGCGCTCGCTCTCCTCCATAATGCGCACGCAGAACTGCCAGTTTGACGTTCCGCCAGAGTACGATTTATGGTACCCTCGTCCGATGAATTGTGATAAAACCTCCTTCAAAATTCAATTTAAATAATCGTCGCTCCGACATATTATAATAAATACATTTGAAAACGTAATTTTACCTAAGAAATAATAATTAAATATTAAATTACAAATAATGTTGATCTTACTAGATAAGTTGTTTGTTGTGGGAGAGTCCTGCTTCGGCACGAATGGGTCGGCTCGACCAGAGCGATATCACAGAAAACCGATGTAAAGCAACCACATCGTTGTGGTTCGGCATGTGATTGCGGCTACCAGAGTCTGAGACCCAATCCTTACCCTCCCCCAATCACAAAATCCACAAAACCTAATCCACGATAGGTCGGCAACGCACTCGTAACTCTTCCATTATTGCGAGCGGCGGTGATTGCTTACCATCAGGTAATCCGTCTACTCGTTTGCCATCCCGTCGCAAAAAAAGTATAGAATTTCGCCATTATTATACTCCTTTACACTAATCAATGACAATGTACTTAACATCTTTTTTTTCTTATCAGGCTTTAGTTATTTTTGGTGGCTTTATTTTTATTAAAAAATAAACAAAAATTAACCGGCAATAATAAAAGAGATTATTTTCGTAAAAATATTTACTGTTGAGGATTTGTTTAGTTATTGCTTTTTATGACACACACACACATTCGCTCACTGTTCACCTATGCAGAGGATCTAGGGCAATGCTTAGGCCCCTTCCTTCTCCTACTTTAGGCCGAGGACGTGGTTCCTCATTGCGCTTACCCCGTAACCTCGGCAGAACGTCAAGGGCCCGTCAGTGGTCTACTGGCTCTTTGAGGCGCGCGCGGAACGCTACGCGCCGTACGCTCGGGTCTGGTTCTGGTCGGGCGGTGAGCTACCCTTACTCACCGTTCGCACACGACCCGCGCTTACAGTGGCCGGAAATCATCCCTCAACCTGACCAACCATCCATTCCCGGAGTGTTGCATACTGCGGCGGCTGGAGGGTAGCTTCGTCTCCTTCTTTGCGAGCATAACTGCTTCGCAGAAAGAGGAGATGGTTTCCCAGTTTCTCTCGCTGCGCACCATGGCTTCGACTAGGCCTGGTACGAAAGGTCGCCGCCGCCGATCACTTCCCTGAGGACACGGCAGTGCTCAGCCCAAGCAGGGCACACCACCACCGTATGCCCAACCGTGTGCTCTGGGTGGTACTCACAATGTTCACGATTTCCTCCCACTGGATGCGAATCAGCAACCTACCGAAGCTGTCGTGCCCGGTAAGCACGTGCGTCAGGCGGAAGGTGAGGACGCCATAGCGTCTCTCAAGCCACTCTTCAAAGAGGGTCTTACCGCTGTTATAAGAGCGTGCCCGGCCCTCGGTTGCGACATACGTTGTGGACACTTATGGGCTGACCATGTGACGTGATTGAATATTATGACGGAGCGGCATCTGGCTGTTTAGATGCAGTCCAAATGGCAGCCTATATTTAGCTACATTATGTATGTTATTTTGTCATATCGTTTATAAAAACGCTGTCTAGACAGTTGCTATGTTACGATAACACAACGTGTTATCGCCTTTGCTTTATGTGGGACTAATATATAATCCACCTTATGCATCATAGCCTCGAGGCAGCGAGTTTTATGCAAAAAGTACCGCGGCCTTTTTTTTTGTCAGGGGAAAATCATCCAATGACTTCTCCCGCCCAGGGTAAGGGGAGAGAGTGTCAGACTCTTACTGACTAAAAACCCCCCCGTTCCTTCTCCTGCTCTGAGCCGAGGTCGCTCCACCGTGTCCTCCAGGTGATCCTCACAATGATGACACTCGGGCGTTTCCTTTCGCTGGATCCGAAACAGGAACCTACCGAAGCTGCCGTGCCCGGTAAGCACCTGCGTCAGGCGGAAGGTGAGGACGCCGTGGCGTCTCTCAAGCCACTCCTCAAAGAGGGGTCTTACCGCTGCTATAGAAGCGTGCCCGAAATATCGCGGCCTAGCCTGGAGTTTGAGAAGCGACGGGGTGGTGTTTAGTTAATAAGCGTTGTGTGAACTATTGTTGGTGAACCTGAAAAAAGTCTGACTTTTCCTCTCGCCTCGCCCTGGGCGAGGGAAGTCCGGATAATCTTGACATACTAACACCTCTAACTAATTACATGAAATTTGGGTTGAATGGACTTTGCAAAAAAAAAAAAAATTGATCCAGGAACTGAACAAATTCTTGTTTTAGAAATGGCATTTATAATGCTTTAGATTAAATTTATATTCGCGTTCTATACAAGAAAAATGTATTAAATTCCATAGCGATAAAGCCGGCATTGAAAAAGCAAGTTTTCAGTACCGTAGGTAACCAATTTAGAGTCTGTTTTTTATAAAAACATTCCAAATTATAGCGTTATGAGTAGCTGCTAAAAGACACCCTCCCATCCCCTTTGCATGACCCAAGGATTGAATTGTAGACAGCATAGTCAGCAGATAAATTACATTCTTTTCGAGGGGCCATTTAACTATGCATAGTTAAATTCATATGCGACTATATAGTTCTCATTATCGAATCCTCTTTTCTGATTTTAATAAAAAAACACCAACTAACATGTGATTGGCCAGCTAATTGACAACTAGCTATAAAAAATTATGTAGAAAAAAACCATCGACGTCTTCTTCGTTCTAAGGAATTCAGCAGTGAGTGATTTAAAAAGGAATAAGTGTTTAAAAATAACCAACAGTTTGTTGTGTACAGTTATCGTTCAAGTGACGAAAGATCGAGCAAGAGATTTAAAGATAATAAAATGCTTTATCATTATTCGGGTGTACACATCGCGTGAGGTTCCGTTGACAAACTCCGAGGCGACGTGTCTATACACACACACTAACTTATATATCTGCCGGCCGGCGTCCGTAATACCACCAGTGTCAGTTTGTTCACCAAGCCGGTAACACCACAGACTCGTAAAACCAGTTGTAAGTACCGGATCACTGTTCCAAATTCTCTCTTTTCTTCTAAATATCTAAGTAAAATCTATAAAATTTAGCTTCTATTTCGTTATTTCTATTGTAATGAATCAAGTGCATCGATTAGTCAAAAAGATCTTCTCGTTTCGAAAGAAACAGTTTGAGCTAAATACAAACTCGTTTGCTACAGCAAATGAATTTTAATCTCGTTGAACAGTTTTGTCCGCGTCTTGAATTTTTATTGATTCATTGCTTTTATAGAAGTGCCTTTGTATAGATTTTAGTGTTAGCCACGGGAAGGTCATAGAATTTTCCAAAAGTATTATTTGTGGCGATTGAAAGTAAAAGTCAGTCGTGTTAGTGATTAGTAAATAATGTTTGGGAATATATTGTTTTAGAAACATGTCGAAATACGTATTCTACTACTTTGACGGAAAAGGTTTGGGAGAGCCAGTGCGTCTGCTGCTGGCTTATGGTGATGAAGGATTTAAGGACCACCGAGTGGCTTTCAAGGACTGGCCCGCGTTCAAGCCAAGTAAGTAAAAACTTTTTTGAGATATTCCTTTTTTAACCGACTTCAAAAAAGGAGGAGGTTCTTATTCTTCTGGGTATTTACGATGTCGTGTTGTATGGTAAGGTTAGTTCTTTTTTCGATTTTAAAGTGAGTACAGATGTACTTGGGTGATTCTCCAAAAAACCTTAACTTTTATTTAACAAGTCATTATCCTCCCAGGTTTTTAAGCATCTTAGTAATTTATTTTATACAATATTTTTAATCGGTTGCTTGTAAGCAGAGGTGACATTTAATTTAATAAAACAATTTTCTGTGTTTTAATCAGCAGACTCGTTAATTTTCGGTTGAGGATAATGACATTATTAAATTTTTTTTAATTGATGTGAAGAATCACCCACTTGTCTATGGATTCGGTAAAAAAATTGACATTGAAATTATTTGTACAGGAAATAATACACGATAAATATTTAAATACTCATTAAAAAATCCAAGCATTCATGCTCCACTCGCAGTTTTTGCTCCTCATGTGGTAAATGCTAAAAGATAACGAGAGATAAGGAAAGGTATAATATATTTGCTTGTCGCTTACCAAGATAGACTCGCCTTATTTTCAAGTATTTACACTACTGTCCTATCTCTGATAAGATAAAACTCTTTCAATAGGCTCTAGATAAATATACCCATTTATATAATTTTAATTAGGCGTGCTATGGATAACTAATCACGTTCGAAACTTGTGATTTAATAAAAACAATTAATACATTTTTATCATGGGGATGAATTAAAAAATCCGACGTGTAGTCAAGGTAGCACCAAGATTTTTACCAACCAAAATTTTGGTCTGACATGAAAGGATGGATGTGGTGTCAGGAAATATGAATTTATATTTGAATCCAGAAACTATAAACTGTAACATGCTTTATCAACCAATTACGAGTATAGCCAAAATTGTTTAATCTACTGTACTACTGTACGGTGCTTAAAACAATAATTTAAAAACACAAAACTCTTTTAAACATCACGACTGTAAGTAGTCTCAAAACAATAATGTTTTTTCTTTATCAGATACTCCATTCGGGCAGATGCCACTTCTGGAGTTCGACGGCAAGAAGTACGCTCAGAGTCTGTCCATCGCTCGGTACCTCGGCAAGAAGTACGGTCTGGCTGGAGACTCCCTCGAGGATGCCCTGGAGATCGACCAGAACGTCGACCTCATCAACGACCTTCGTGCAAGTGAGTATTTTGGTTGCATTATCATTTGAAGGAAATATGAGAAAAAAGGCCCCAATACTGTTCGTTTTTCAAAGATTAAGCTTGACAGCTTCAGGTATATTCTGATTTTAATTCTTTTAGGGCTGATTTTTCAATAGTCAGATAAATGTTATCTGAGGAATAAAATTGTTGCTATCATTGTCTTATACAAACATTCTGACGCGACAGCTACATAATTATTCCCCAGGTAACTTTTATCTAACCATTGAAAAATCAGCCTTTAGCTAACTATTTTGTGACTGAATTTATTTTAGGATAAAGTAACATATTTTTCTACTTCAAATTATTAAATTTGCAATTTTTGTCATTTTACAGAGGCTGCAATTGCATCCTACGAGAAGGATGAGGCTGTCAAGGAAAAGAAATACGCTGAATTCAACAAGGATGTGTTCCCTGCCATGTTGGAGAACCTGAATAAAATCATCACTAAGAACAACGGCCATGTTGCCCTTGGAAAGGTAAACATTAATTAGACCTATAATCGTACCTCTATAGAAGTAAGAGAGGCTCATCCATATTGTTCCAAATTATAATTGTCTCGCGAGTGGTTTAGTTCTCATCAGATTATAAAATGACAACTATTGGCCGTGTAATTTCGCTTAAACCTTTGATAAACTGTCCAATAAACCTGAAATAGGTTTTATGTATTTCCTCAGTAAATGAAATGATCGAATAAGCTAGCCTACCTAACCACCACGTTTATATTCTAAAAGTGATGGTTAGGTAGCTCACTTTGAACTTTACCACGACCCAAAATGATACGAGGTAGGATATTTGGCCACTTTTCCGCACATACTTAAATAAAAATTCTGTTACAGCTGACTTGGGGAGACTTTGTCTTCGCGGGTATGTTCGACTACCTCAAGCACTTGTTGGTTGTTCCTGATCTGGAGAAGAAGTACCCAGCATTCCAGAAGGTCGTGGACAACGTATACTCCATTCCCAAGGTCAAGACCTACGCTGATGCTGTAGGACCCACGGAATTCTAATTTTAGTTCTAAAGAGATTGGATTTTATTGGGTGATTGATTGTTGGTGTGAATTTGTTTTTTAATGCACTGTCTGAAAAAAACATTTTGTACCAAGACTTGAGTTATTGAGAAAAGAGACAGGGTCTTATTATTATGTACAATTGTATTAATTTTGGTCTGTGTGCATCACAGTTCTGATTGTTGTAATGTTTATGTTATAATTAGGTTAAGCACTCATATATTTTTAAATAAATAACTAAGAATTTATATTTGTTTTCGACAGTTTACCTGCTACCTATCTAAAGCATGCCGCAAGCGGTTAAACACTCCCACTCGCTGCATTCACGGTGGGAGAAGTCAATCGATAGGTTTCCACAATAAGTAAAATAAAAAGAACCAATCAGTCGTCATGGGGCTTGTGTCAATAGGAAAAATCTTATAAAGATTTTTTGGAATACAGAAGTTCATACAGGAATAACGAAACAATGAATTAATTTTAGCAAGTCGGCGAGAAAACAACACTTTTAAAAGCCAAAGCGTAGAGTAGACCGGCAGTTCCCACAGACTACTTTGAGAAGAAATGCTGAAACAAACTTGGAGGCCTAATGGGAATTTACTCTTTATGCAAACAGAACAATTAAATAATATAAGGCTTTAGTTTCAGACAGACAGCACGGTTGGTGCGGTGGCTGGGCAACTGGCTGCTGTGCAACGTGTCGCGGGTTCGATTCTCGCACGGAACAACACTGTGTGATCCACTAATTGTAGTTTCGAGTCTGGGTGTGGTGTTTATGTGCAATTGAATGTTTGTAAACCCACCCACGATACAGGAGAAAATCCTAGTGTGGGGAAACGTTTTATTTTTATCTTATCCTCTCGACAAACTACAATTCGTAGTAATAATAAAAGCTGTGTCGTAGAACGCTGGTCAAACATCTCAGTGAGGGTTGGCTGGCTACATAAGGTACTTATGATACATGCGTCAGACACAGTAAGTAGATTGATTTTTGTAAGGGAGTATAAGGAGAGAATTTTCCAGAAATTAATTGGCCAAAAATACCGAATTTGATGAGGACACCAAGTCATGAGCAAAAGCAAGTTATAAAAATTACACCACACAATGTTATCAGTGTTGTTGAATGCAGTTGATTGATAAATATAAACATACAAATATAATGTTATCAATCATGGTGCGATATAACACAAGTGGGTGGTACCGCAAGCGGTATCATTATTATTGAAACTGAAGGTCACTGAATCACCATCCGAGTACAATGACTGGCACAATTCTGAACACAACAACTTTTTGCCTAGTCATTCAAATGATGTAGCTCCCATATTTTTATATTATCTAAACGACCGCTCGAAAACTATCAGCGCGTTACGTATTTAATCGTGTTAAGAATTTGTCTGTGTCATGGTCCGAATTTCTGAATACATGTATGTAAATATTTGTTACTAACATAATCTGTTACTTTCCCTTTTTTTCAATTTGGTATCCTAGAATAATCCTAGACTTAGGGTTTTACTTCTTGATAATTGTTTCTAAGCATAATCATGAGACTTTGTACCTAAGCATTGACTTCAAACATTGCACGGGGGGCTTGATAAAAAAAAATCGTAGCAAGTAAAGAAAATTCTGAAATAACAGTTGGCGAAAAATGATGCTGTACCTAATCATTGACTTGAAACATTGCACGGAGGGCTTGATAAAAGAATCGTCGCAAGTAAAGGAAATTCTGAAATAACAGTTGGCGAAAAATGTCTCTCTCAGCAGTCGCTTTTACTTCCGAACTTCCTACCATGGGAAATGGTGACCCTTTATGCCAATAGGTATATATCTTCTAGAGATATAATAGTAAGCTATTTCTCCAGTATAGTTACATTGAATCACTGTCTGACAAAAACCAATTGTGATTAGGTTATCAATACCAAACTAAAAAAATGGCATAAAAAATGGCAATGTACTAAGGGTGACAAAAATGCATGGAGAGCTTAAGGTCGACTATTGACTGACAGGTTTTGCATAACGCTACCATTGATAACTAGATGGCGCTGCTTTTAAATGAAAATAACCCTGCAAAGCTTGAATACTTTACACTGCAGAGGCACACAATAAGGTTTTTAATGGTAAAAATAATAATTAAGAAACAATAATATATTTATATTCAAATACACATAAATTATGTTAATTTTCACATTTCCGAGGACTTAATATAGCGCCATCTAAGTCAAGTCAAGCAAACCAATTAAAAGATGGCGTCAATAATTAATAATAGACAATAATAAAAGTTATAAAATAATCCGCATTTTCGATATCATTAAAAATGCGATCGGTAGCTCGGATAAATAAGAATGATAGTATAATGAAGTCGAAGGGCACCGGTTCAATTCCGGGTTATCATTTTTAAATTCAGGTTTTTTAACAATGGTTTTTTTATATAAAATCAATAATAATAATATACAAATAAAATATTTGACGTTTAATATTTATAAAAGATAACAAAAATAAATAAATATATTATTTTAGAATAAAATTATATTAATAAATATATTATTATACAAATAACTTTTATAATATGTGCTAACTATTAATGTAAAAGTAACATATTTTTCTTACAGATTAAGACTAATACTAAGTTTAATTCTCATAAAGGATAACAAATAAAACTATTTTAGTGACATTATAATTTCAGACATTTATTTCTTAAAACATAATATTTATTTCTTTCTTATATAGTGTATACCCTGACCTAATAACTTTTCAGCTAACTGACACATTATTTATTACACTTTTTATAAGATTAATAAGTATTTTTAATCAAAATTGTGTTGTGCTAGTCATTTATTAGTTAGTTTTAAACACAATGTTATAATACGATTCTATATAATATGCAACCTTACTTCTGCAACTATTTTACCTCCCCATAAAATTTAATTAAAGTATTGACTAAAGTGATTCATTTTGTGCATCATGTTATGACAAAGGCTCATAGCTTAAGTATTCGTTCCAGAACAAGGAAGAAATTGAAGCTAGACCTTAAATCAATAACATTTCTAAGACTGGGATAGCATTCACTAGATATGGGACCAATTGTTCATAGTAATTAATAAATAAATAATTTATTATTTTGCAATCAATAGCATCTGTAAATATTAATATTGCTTTTATTTTTATTTCTTATATTTAGTAAAACATTAAAATCATTACTGTATAACAGTCGCTGGTTATAAAGTAGTCAATAAATTTATCCTACTAACACTAAGTTTGAACATTTATCCATTAAATAAATTATCGCTACCCCGGTCTTGTAATTGCTTAATCCTATACCTAGTCAACAATGTCTTTTCTTTTAAGAACTAGTGTAGCCGCCATTTTTATCGATCCTATTTCTCCTATCTCGCTGGCCAAGGAATAATCCGTATGTCTGATTGCTGACTAAACACTTGCAGAATTATGGAACATTACACATAGGACAATTGTCCTGCACGAACGTTATCACTACCACATCTTCATGACGTCTTTCAGCACATCTATGTAGTTTTCACTGTTTGCATCACTGAAGATGACAATGCTCCAGTAATTTTCCTCATAACCTTGCCTCATAAGTTGAAACTGGTCTGAGTCAATATCACGTCTTCTGCCAGATCCACTACGGTGCTCCAATGAACCCTCTTCTTGAAACAGCTTTAGATATCCATAAAGTGGCAGTCTTTACCTGTAAGGGACGTGTATTATTTATTATTTTCATGTATCGATAACCATGGATAATAAAATAAATAACAAACGGTCATTTATAAGAATACTTACGTTTAAGCCAGTTTCTCTAGAAATTCCAGTATAATTTAAGCTTTGATTATGCAATGCTATTATTTGGGCCCTCGTAGCCATATTAACATTTGAACGCAAATTCATAATAAAAATAAATATTAAAAACTTGTTAAACAAATCGTGTCTGAACTCACTCAAAGATAGTAAAGAATGTTATGATTGAACAAAAAGGTTTAATTTTTATACAGTTAATTTTAAATTACCCTCAACTGTTTTGAGATTTATGATCGGGTTATAGTTGCTAAACAACTTCAATATAATAAAGAGTAGGATAATTTCAATACATTTCAAGGTTACGTAATGGCCTAATGGCTAGTGTCATCGGTTAATTTTATGCTACCGAGTTCGAATCCTGGTTATTGCGTGCTTTGCTTTAAAAAGGTTTGGAATATCGTAGCATTAATTTGTATAAAAATTTATTAAGTTAATAACTTTGTATCTGATAAAAACTATGAATGTATATTTTTCAATGCCACTAGTATACTAGCGCCATCTATGTCGTCCATGGTATATAATTAAGGCGATGAAACGCCGTACAAACGATTTTGATTTAGAATCATCCATGCACTTATGACACTGATAGTACATGAAAATTTTATCAGACCCTCGAACATCGTTGGTGATGCGTCGACTAGATTTGCTGGGTATATCTACCAGTATTCGATCGGTAGCGCATCAGTGTTACCTTCAACGCTTAGTCAGTGACAGGTCCTTAAGAAGTAAGTACTATCAAATTGTCCGGTGGTAAATATTGTTGGAATTTAGACTGTATTTCTTTTTAACTCCAGAAGTCATTTTAGTGTGTTTTGTATTTGAATGTTTCTGTTTTCCTTTTTCTGATAAATTTGTTAATGACATTAAGCTTGCTTCGTTTCGTCGGTTCTTTTCAGTTATTCCAAATATAGAACTGGCATGTAAACATTAAGGGTGTGGTGTTGTGGTACGTTTTTATAGAAAATCAATACAAAGCTTTGGTTCTATTGTATGGATTCAATTTCTATTATAGTCGAGTTGAATGTTCGAGTTAATCAAGTCAGTCAAGTTGAATGTATTGTTATATCAACTTATTACGTTGTTGAGACACCTGCGGCCCGTACTAAGCGTTTTGCCTCGTCATTTATACCGCGTACATCGAGGGATTGGAACAGTTTGCCGGCTGCAGTCTTTCCATCCGAATATAGCTTAGGTGTCATCAAGGGTAGGTTCTTAATAAACTAGTGCGGCTTACCATCAACGATTGCATCACTGCTTACGATCAGGTGGGATCGCAGTCAAGCACTAGTTTATTGCAAGAAAAAAAGAATGTTTTTTATTTTTAAAGTCACTTTTCGTTGTAAGGTTATAACTCAACAATGCCCTAACCGATTTAGCAAATTTTGGTCTTGAATGATTCGTGGAAGTCCAGAAAAGATTTTCACATTGAGAAAATTAAGAAAAAAGTATTTTTCTTTGAATATGATCTTAATAATCACTTTTTTTATTAATATGCCTTATACGCAGCGAAGCACGTACCGGCCCGCAAGTTGTGATATAAATATTGTGTGTTACTATATTTTATTAATGTTTTTCGGTAAGTATCATCATTTGTTTCCAATTATTATAAGATTTTTTTTCTTATCACAGTTTCAGTTTGAACAATCATGCCGAAGTACGTGGTCCACTATTTCAATGGAAAGGGATTGGGCGAGCCCATCCGTCTACTGCTAGCCTATGGAGACGAGGGTTTTGAAGACCACCGCGTAGCTGGCAAGGACTGGGCAGAATATAAGAAAAGTAAGTTGAATTCTCTATCCTAACTGCGATCCCTAAGCGTATTAAGTGGATTGTGGCAGATCGTCACTTACGAGTGGGATCTTTGTTAAGCGGGAAAATGTTAGTTATTTGTTGAATACTGAGCGCTTGTATCAGTAATTTTATCCAAATAAACTTTTGTCGAACATAGGTCACACAAATGACATTCCAAATTTAATTTTATATGTAACATACTGGCCATCTAGACTTTGGTAAACTATTGAAGCAAGAAGGTTGCGTTAAAAGTTTTGTCTTGTTTTCTCGAATTAATTGTTTCTGTAACTCGAAGAATAAAAAAATAAATGGTCAAGACGAATAGTGGTGTGATTGGTGATTGGATATTGTAATTGATATTTAACCGTTATCTCATACTGATATCGATACTGGGGGTGACGATAATGTGTTTAAATATTTTTAGATAGGACTAAAATGTTTCCAAATAAATGATTAAAAACGGCAAGTCACTTCTGTTTTATATAAATATGAAAGAAATATCTTCAGTTAGCAGTTTTTTTTTCGAATTGGTAATTCATTATTTATTATGACGTGAGCAAGAACCTCGGTAATTGTAAAGGGCTTCTCTAAACATATGTCCCTCATCTTTAAAGTGTTAGAGAGCCAAACTTAGAAACGAATGCGATACCACGGCCTCACAAATAACCTCAAAATAACTACAACGTTGTATTTAGCCGTAAAAGTGAGTTTACTGGAAATTGGCCTCACGTTTTTTTCCCCTCTCCTAAATCCTAATCCCCAAAAGATCGTCAAACCACTCGTAAATCCTCTGGTGTTAATGGTGTACATAGTGTCTATCCACCTTCCTTCTTGCAAACCTACGATATAAAAGAAATATACCTCCGTCCTGTTACAACTGTAGTCAGAAAAAGGACTGAATAATTTTGAAATTTTTTCTAAATACTCAGGAACTCGATGAGATAACAGCAATTGAAATATATCTATTTTTTTCAGCTACTCTTTTTGGACAGCTGCCAATGATTGAATTTGACGGCAAGAGATACGCTCAGGCAACTTCCATCTGTCGTTATCTTGGCAAGAAGTATGGCCTAGCTGGCGATACCCCTGAGGAAGCCCTAGAGATTGACCAATTCGTCGACCTCCTCAACGATTTCCGTATGAGTAAGTAGCATTATTTGGCAATTATATCACTTATCTATTGACTTTTTTAGATGGCGTGACGTGAAAGTTGCAAGCATTCAAACGTTCAACTTTTACGCCTAAACGGCTGAGCAGATTTAAATGAAACGAAAATATCACAAATCGTGGCGCATCAAGCCAATCTCGAGAATTACTGATTTTAATTTCGATATTGTTGCTTTGTTGTATTCAGCCACGACGGTCAGGTTTCTTTATAATTAATCAGATTACTTTGAAACGTTCAAATTATTACTGTTACACATTTTTTAATGTATTTTAGAAAATTTCACACAGTTTTGATACGAATTTATTTGAACAGTTACTTGCAAAGTATATATTTCTGGTTGACTAGAGCTGATAACGAAATGATGACAAAGCAATATTTTTTAAATCTATTTTCTAAAAAAACGATTGACTCTGCTTAGTTTATGTTTTACATTGTAGAGATTGTAGAGATAGTATTGTTTAGTCATTTAAAAGTCTTCATAAAGTAAAGTTATCTGTAATTTCTCTTCACGATTTAGTTTGACACAAAAATTTCTCAATTTTATAGAAGCTGCAAACGTTGTTTATGAGAAAGATGAAAAAATCAAAGAGTAAAAGTTTGAAGAATACAGCAAAAACGTGTTCCCTGAATACTTGGACTTAAATTACGCTTTAATAATTTATATTGTGTGTAAATGTGTTGATATTGTTGCACATTAGTGTGTACGCATTAGGCGCGGTGGCTGGACAGCCGGCTGGCCCACAACGTGTACCGGGTACACGTTGTGGGATCCAAACAACTCTTTGTGTGATCCACAACTTGTTGTTCTGGGTTTGGGTGTCATGTATATGTGAAGTTTTATTTGTTAACGCACGCACAACATAGAAGAAAATCCTAGTGTGGAGCAATGATGTATAAAACTATAGATACGTTGTCCGCGCTCTAAAATGGCAACATGAAATGAAGGCAATTGACAACATCGCGCTTAGTTACGCACCAACCTGCCGCGCGACGCTACGTTTGTTTTTAATTTATATCGTGTGTGTAAACCTGTGCGAAACATAAAGAAAGCATGCCGTCGTGTGTGTTCAGACGATGTACAAATTATACTCCAAAAAAGACAAAAATGTGTCATTTCATGCGTAAGTTCACCAAACAACCTATTTTTATTTTATTTTTTTCGACGCCGGCGCCCGCCATCTTATAGCGGCCATCTTATGAAAATGTAGTTTTAATATTACTTATCCTGTGATGTAACTGAAGATGTATATTTATCTCCCTCTAGCAAAGGCATTCCACTATACGATGTCATATTTTCTTTCCCTTTCTTTACTCGTAGAAGTAATTATCTAGTATTTTCGCCGTTTTTAAGCGCCGCGATGTTGGTTCATGACGTGTCTATATGTAATACGTCATTGGTGTGGAGCAATGTTTTTAAATAAAAAAAAAATACTTATACACTTTTAAGACAGTTTTATCAAATATTTATTTTGATGCATGGTAGCGTAAGTTGTAAGAAGTACAAACGTCGAAATAAATGATTGATTTTATTGTTTGCCTTTTTTATTGATTTGGACGAAGTATCTTTTTACTACTTAATTTGGAAGTCATCATCATAATCAAGTTGATGTTAACCAATATGTACCTTATGCGTATACGCATAATGCTAAAGACATAGCAGAAGCAGCTCAAGTCTAGCAGTGCACGAAAATGGGCTGATGAGGATGAATTTGAGTTAGGAATACAGAATAAGACACTTTATATTTGAATCTTTCATAAAGCTCTAACTCTGAAGGGCTGATCGAGAATCGAGACGCAAAAATACTAAATGTAATACAAAACAAAAAGAGGGATAGGAGGGCGAAAAAAAAGGATGAAGTTATAAAAGGTGTATAGCTCCATCCCTCTTCCTCGCCTGGAAGGTTGGCGCTTTAAACACGTCATGGTAGACCTACAGATTTTCGTCAGATATGTTAGAACCTCTTGCCCAGGATTATTATAGATACTTTTCGAAATCCAAAAATATATTTTGATTTAAAAATACTTAAGTAACAATTTCAATAAAAAATAAAGTAACTAATACATATTATTGTTAGGTTATTTCCTTCATCCAGCCCGGGTGTAAGTGTAAAAAAATACCGCGGCTTCTTCTCCTGCTCCTGCTGCAGGAGAAGAAACGATGTGGTTTTTAGTCAATGACAATCTGAAACTCTCACTCTTAAATGTTGTTTCTTACTTGTTAACATTACATAATTATTTACCTGTGTACTGTTTGGATACGTTGTCTAGATAATCGAGGCTGAGCTAGATACAGGTGTTGATCAATTTGCTGTTGTAGGTAAAGATTTTTCATTATTAACAGGCTGAATGACCCGTGATGAGCCACTGGTGAATTGTAAGCCTCATCTAGTGGGTAGTGTGAGGATAAGTTTGGGAGAACCGAGATTCGGCTCGAATGGGTCGCCTCGACCGGAGTGAAACCACTGCCTCACAGAAAAGCAAGCATTGTGTTTCGCCGTGTGCCATATAGAAAAGCTTTAACTTTTTTACAATTATTGCTCTTTAGCGCTCAGGAAGAGTGTATCGTACTGTGGTATCGTGTAAATGAGACTTCAGTAAATTATAACTGCTTATTTTTTTCGTTCAACTAAACTCATAATATTAGTGGGTAGTTACGTTCTTTGGTCGGGATTTTAATTAAAACAATATGCATTTATTACAAAATTAGTATTTAATTAAATAAACAGGATATTACAATGAAGGCTGATTCTCGACTGAATATAATGCAAAACAAAACAATAAAAATGTCTCGGATTCCAGTAAAATTTATAGTTACCCTATGACGCTTGCCGATCGCTGCTGCATAGTCAGCGTAAACGAAGGTTACACCGAGTTAATGTCTCCCTCCATAAGATAAAAGCAACTCTTGGAAGCGGCCGATGTGCCATTGGTGTCCTCCGGTATTTTCTTTGTGTTCCATTGGAACAGCTTCCAGGTTACTGCGGGGAACAGTAGGATGTATAGGATGATCGTGTTCCATCTGGGTGTAGGTAGTTGTTATAATAATTGGCCAGTTGTCGTCGTCTGTTACGAATACGTCCACCTGCTCTGTTGATAATATCATAGATGCTGTCTAGCGAGATATCTTCCAATTGAAGTTCATATTGTATTGAAAGCTCTGGGATCTGATGCTGCTTGGGTAATGGTACGACCTCGTTGATGACGATCGCAGCGTGTTGTTCATGACGTTCATCTGGCAGTCTTCCTTTAGTGTGACGAGGTGAATCCCCGATAGCTTCTCTTAGTCCGTCTTGTTGTTGCATTGTGTTTTTGTGATTTCGTCTTCTCTAAGGACCAGCCAGTTGTTGTCGCCGATCTTTTGAACTTTTCCTGTTCTTAAGTTCATCTTAGCATGGCTGTAATTAGCTGGGCGATGCTGAATGGGTGATATTATGCAGTCATCTGTGTCTTCAATTCTTTTGGTGTCGAGAAGCCTTTAGAGCTGGGTGTAGTCTGTCAGGGGCTGGTCCTCTTCCAGGTAAGCGTTCTCATCATTACCAAGTGCAAGGTATTTAAGTCATAAAACTTTCTTTATTTGGATTTTGGGATGATAGTCAAGTTATTTATATTTGGGATAGAGTAGAGATGGATAAGGTGTTTGGGATGACTGAGACGATTTCAAGAATAAAGTTGACAGAGTGTTCTGTGCTGTAAGCTTTAACTTTAATGGATTTTTCTATACTATATGTTATTGAGGCTAATTCTAGCTACTGGCTTAAACCTAAAAATGTTTTCATTTCCTAATTCGGCTTTCAATACTAGGATGCATGGTGCCTATCCGAGCAAAACTCATAGCATATTCTAAAAACATTAACCTATGATGATCTGTAAACTAAAATTTATCTAGTAGACGGTTAGTTAGGTCGTTAGATTTATTAGTAATGTTTTGTAGAAAACTAGCCAAATGCCACTATTACATGCTGGTAATTACAGTTAACGCTCAAGCCGAACACTGCTTGAATAGCTTAAGTAGTTTATCGTTGAATATTATTATGTACACTCTAGAAAATGCATGGTGTAATACATCGTTATAAAAGTAACAATGGAATACATGGTTGGCGATAGTGTGTTCTTTCTTGCCACATCTCGTATCATCTTTCTCACAAACGATACGGGGACCTTGCTGTAGTCCGCTGTTTTAAATTTAAGTGCGGCGTCCTTGGCAAGCTTGTCCGTCCTCTCATTTTCTGCAGTTCCCACGTGAGCCCTTAGCCAACATAACCTCACCGCTCTGCGCTTCTCTTGGATGTCTCAGATATATGATATATACTATATTTTCAGTGCCAGATGGTGAGTGACAGACGGGCTCCTCGGCAAACGAATGACGATCTTGAGTCACTAAAGATGCTTACAGAGGCCACCTAAGATTCTCTTCACATATTAACGGCTCTAAAGAGAGCGTGCATTTCCGATTGCAAGACAGTGTTATGAGGCTCCAGGCCGAAGGTACTGAGCTTTGACTCTTTCCCATTTTCGCACCATGTTTGGGCAGCTCCTACTTTCCCCTCAATTTTGCTGCCGTCGGTGTATATTTGGGGACCGGTTATGGTGGGCCGCCTGGGTTTCGGGAGCCAAGTTCTCTAGACGTGGGTAATTGACTCAGTAATTGTAAGTAGCGCCGAGTGAGGGTTTTTTTGGAATTGTGCACGTTGCGCTCCAGCTCGCCGCCCGGCGGGACGAACTCTTGGGAATGAGCCTTCTTGATTTTGAAAAGGGTTGGGGCCTTAGTTACTAGTTATCAGCTTCATTGCCACCGACTCTGATAGGCTCTATCACCGATACGTATCTTGTCCTCACTGTCTCTCGGTTGAGACCCCGGATCACCTTCGCCGCACACGCCAGTTTTTTGTATATACTATATGTCTGTGGTTTTCTCACAGGTCGCAGACACGTGCTCGTTGAATGTGAGTTTGGCGTCCATTGTGGGTCCCAACAGCTTTACTTCTTAGACAAGATCTAGGCGCGCGCCTGACATGTGAAGTACAAGATCTTCGTATTTCAGCTTCTTCGTAAGCACCATCGCTTTGGTCTTATGCATGGCGAAACGCAGCTTATTTTGGAAGCCCCATTTAGATGCCGTGTCCAGCGCGTTGTTCGCTGATTGTTGCAGGTGACCGGTTGTGAAGTCTGAGAAGATAAGGACGAAGTTCTCCGCGAAGGCCTGCCAGTAAACCTTCATACTTTTCAACTTTATCATAGGACAAGGTTCCAGACTGTCGGTCCAGCAATTGAGCCATTAAACCCATCATTTAGTGGTGTCCCTTTCACTAGTCGCTATAGCATAGTTGACCCTGATGTTCCAGTCTTCCAGGTATGAGGCAACGAGGGCGTACAAGCTTCTGGGGCATGTTTTGGCTACCATATTTGTTTTAAGTGCAGACCAGGCCACCATGCTTTATCGTAGGCCCCTTCTATGTCCAGTGATATCAAAAACACTCGAGGAACTTTTCCTCCGCAAGCTTTCTCGGGGCTGTGTGATTTGCATTTTGATATCTGTTAGGTCATCTGGGTAGAAAGTATTTGCCACGAGATCAGCGGACCGCTTGGGACTGAGTGTCTCACCTGCGGTGTTTCTTAGCAGTATGTCGTATTGTCTCCTGGCTGTCTGCCTTAAGACCATATAAAAGCCATCCCACATACTCTCTCGATCCTGTTTTGTACAGAAGTCCTTCTAGCTGGCCGTCGCTGCTTCCGTGGCTGTCTGGGTGTAAGTGTTTTTTGCCTCGCCGTATACCTGGATGATGAAGTGGAAGTTTCGGCTTTTGGCTGCGTTCTAGATCCTACTTTTCTTGGTTCTTTTGTCTCTTTTGAGACGATCAAGAGAAGGAGTCCACCACGGGCTGTTGGTGTTCTGTTTTGGCGATCCTAGTTTTGGAATTGCTATCTCACATGAGTGGTGGATGTGATTTTTGTAAATATTTGTAGCTATTTCTAGAGCTTTAGGGTTTGAGATGCGTGAGACGTTGGATTCCGTTTGATTATTTTCCCTAGCTAAGTTTGTTTTGAAGAGTGAGCGAAAATCGGACAACTTCGCCCTCTTGGTGTTACAAATTCGCATTGAAACCGGCCTTTTCGAGGCGTGGTTCGGGGGCTTTTTCGAGGCGCAATGCGAAAGTGACTGCGTTGTTGTGTAAACCTATTACTTCTGTACGCCTTAAAGTCGGCGTCTGCCCAGTGTTTAAGATCTGGCGGTCCTGCTCATTAAGCAAGGAATTGTACGCTGCCCCGCGGTGATTTTCGGAAACACTTCCCCACCAATGGCTCCAGGACTTTTTATCTCCTGATGTTTGGTGCGTGTAATTTCGTGATAGTTTGGTGTGTAGAAGGTTCGATTACCTGGTCAGTGGACACCCTCGAAATAGAGCTTTGCGACTCTGAGACTAAGCTAACCAAACTTTAGCAAAACAGCGGCGATATTCTCGTTCACCAACTGAGGATCGTGGATTACCTGCATATTGCTCCCGAAAACAACCAAGCTCTTGAACAAGTGCAATTGAAACCCCTTTTGCCCGCGACGCTATGTTAAATTCTTTTGAGGCCAGCTTGGCTTGGTGTTGGAGATTGACTTGGATAAATAACAATCTCGTCGGTCTAGTCGTTCCTGACAGTCCTCGCTAAAAGCTTTGTGTGTCAGGTCGCAAACTGTTCTTTTGGCGGCTTCGCAGTTCGCACAAGCTGGTTGCTTGCCAACCGCCCGATCGAGGCAGTCCATTCTATTGTGCTCTCCGCTGCAGTAGCTTCATGCTACATTAGTTGCTGTGCATATGGACTTGTTGTGCCCATATCCAAGACATTTTGTGCACTGTACAAGGGGGACTGCTGCAAATGGCACCGCTTGATGCCAATGTGCACTTTCTGCGCCTCACACAAGAGCTTTGGAGAAAGTTACAAGACAATTGGCACTCGTGTGGGTTTCCGGTACCGCATCTTGATGGTCTGATCGTTTACAGCGACGTTTTGCAGAAGGTGTTTGTTCTGCACTTTTAGGCCAACAACAATCTCCTTGTCGCTGTAGCTGGATAGTGGACAGTACATCATCGGTTTTGGCTCCTGGACCTTGAGCCTGCTATTGGATTTAAACTAGTGTTTCTCCCAAATTAAGGTCCATCTTACTAGCTAGCGCGTCATCTCATCTCAGGACCACTTATTGGATCCGCGTTTTCCAAATCATATCCACACGGATTCCGCTTTTTTGAGGTCCAGGGCTATCCTGATCCTGTCGATCACATTATCTCTAGTGTGCTTAGGGTCTATCGATGTGACAATGAGGGTGTGGTTTGGTTGGGGTGGTTTTAGAGCTTTGGTGTGCAAAGGTCTTTGGACCATCTTTGCCATCTCTTTTTCGATGTTCCGGAGGGTTTTCTTGACTTCCACGGCCGCTAACTCAGCGTCCAGACTCGGCATTGGTGGAATCTGCACATTGGGTTTTTTGTCGCACGCGGATGTCTGCCTAGACCATTTCCAGTTTTTTGGTCAAGGGTTTAAGCTCCTTGGCAATATTGAGTGTTGGTTGTGGTTGTGGTGGCGGTGGTGGGGGAGTTGTGGGTTTGTTCTTAATCTCACGGAGTAGGGCCTGTAATTTCGACATTTTCTACTCAAATTTTTCTCTCGAAAACAAGCCATCTCCGACACTTAGCTGGGTTTTGATCGGTTGTCTGACGTCCGTACTTATTTCGTTTATGACCTATAGGAGCAGGTCCAGTTGGTGATTTTGTCTTCATGCGTAGCAGGCTTTCACCCGTTGAATCTCGTTTGAGATCCCCCGGTGTACCTACCGTACCGAGCCTTGTTTCGTCGTGCTCTTTGATGTTTTGAACGTTTGCCGCCATGACCTCTTCTCTGACCTTATGCCCTTGAACGCTTTAAGGATCTCGTAGCCCAACTATTCTCTTATCCCTTTTGTCTCTTTCTCCGTGTCGAAAGACTACTCAGCTTTGAGTGCCATGATATCACGATAGTGAGCCCTCCTGACCCGTACAAGTTTTTGTCGAAAACGCTGCCATCTCGCTATTGTACCTATGGCGTGCTCTCGAGTCTAGCAGTGACAAAACTCTCAAACAGGCCCTGTAAGCACTAGTATGTGGTGTCTTACACTACCTTTTCACATTTCCTCCTTACCCTTTTGAAGAAGGTTGTTTGCCTCTCTAGTGGCGCGGTCCATCTCCACCCCAGAACCCCCTTGGTGTTCTTTATAGCATTGATATCGCCTTTGAGACCTGAAGCGTCTCCGATGGAGACTGGAGATTCGGATGCACCTGACCTACTCGGGGTGTTTTTTAGTACATTTTCCCTAAGCGACTGGGTCGCTTTTCCCGTGGCCTCCATGGTTGGCTAGCGGTAGGTGGAGGTGGAAATGGAGGATTTGGATGCCATTGACATGTTTGTTTTGTTAGTAAATAGTAACTTAATTCAAATTTGGTTTATGATTTTTTTTATTTATATGGACTCACGACATGCTTCGCTGGTGATCTGCTTCTGCTGGCCAGTGAGGAGTATGATTCTGATCAGAGTTCGATGGTTTAAGCGGCGTGCGCGCTGTTGGTAGTTTCCAGGGGAATTTTCTTCGCCACCGAGTTTCCGTGCAAATATGGTGCCGAATTTGCCGATTCCATCGGAGCCAGATGTGAGAGCTTCTGACCATTCAAATGAGTCCAAGCTCAACTGTGGTGGATCGACCGGTTCCGTAGTTACGAGTGCGAGGGGGTGAGGTACACCTGAGGGGGAGAGGTTAATTTTCATTGGGAGGTTATGGTGGTGGGGGGCTAGTACGTGTGGAACAAATTGGACTTATAAAAATAACTTATAAGGGAAATTTGTTGCCGCTGTTCAAGTGTCAGAGTATTTTGCTGAGGCAGAAGTTGGTGGACGGCATAATAAAGCTAGGTGGAGCTGGATTTACTGCATGAGGCATTTGGTTGTTATTGCCGGGCGATTTAGTTTATTCATTTGGCTTTGCTTGTGCGTTTGAAGAGCTATTATTGATGTAATTAGGTCTATTGTAAGATAGTCTGGCCTACTCTTGGCGATTCGAACGCCCAAGGATACGTAGAAATCTAACTGGTTTATGTGTATTGTTCGATTACCATCTTTTCATAGTGTGGTTTATTACTATGGTTTCCTACGGAGTTAAGAGAACTCGTCCACCGAAACTGACAGCGTCTTAAGTCTTAGACTTTCACACTCGCGTCCAGTTCCTGCATCACCTAGATTTCGTTAAGCGGTTCACCTAGGCGTCTAACTAAAACATTGTTTATCGATTGCCACGAGTCTAAATCGCCTTCATATGCTATTTTATCTACAGCTGGATCACTGAGTCTACTTTTAATAAGATACGTAAAAGATGTGTGTTCGCGATCTGCTTCTAATGTTAGACGTAGTAATATCTCTTTTTCCTTATTGTAATAGTTTAGTAATTTTGGGTAACCATTATATTTTGGCATTAGATCTGCATTAAGTTTTTATGGGGTTTAGTTTACATCGTTATCACGGAGCGACATTATTATTCTGTAATTTGCCTGTATAGTGGCACTTAACGCGAAACAATAGATGTGTCAAATTAATACCTACTTGGAATTTACTCGTATGATATCTAACGCCATTTATTCAAATAATTTTATTGTGGTTGCCTACTACTGTGCTACTACGATGTTAAGCTTATAGACAGACACTAATTAACTTAAAAATACATAAATAAAGATAAGGCAGGAAATTGAGCAAGGACACTTGGTAAAGTAAGAGCACTTACCAAAGCAGCCACTGCATCTCCTGTCGAGTTGAGCCTCGTCCAGCACAGCTACCTCCATTTCTCTGGCTATTTATGCCATTGATCGTAGTGGCGTCCGACCGCACGGCAGGTTCCTTTGAGAACCGTCGCTCTTAAGATGAAGGAACGAATTCAATCTTAGAACGTCGCGACCAATGACGATATAAAATGCTCTTTGGTCGTGACCCTACCGACTGCGCCTGTTACGTTTCGGCGATCATTCGGTAAGATTTTAATTTAAAAAGATAATTATTTATTACAAAATTTGTATTTGATTAAATAGACAGGATATTACAATGAAGGCTAATTCCCAAATGAATATAATGCAAAACGATAATAATTTCTCGGTTTACGATAAAATGCATGGTTGCACTATGACGGTTGCCGATCGCTGCTGCAACTGCATAGTCAGTGTAAAAGAAGGTATACTCAGTACGCGATAGTTTTTATGAATGTAATACTTGATAACCATTACGACAAACTAAAAAAAAAATATTATTAAAAAAACAAAATACCCGACTGCACACTAAAAAAAGAGTAAAACAAGCCCCACAATACAAATTTACTGAATATAATTTATAAATGTTGATGGAAAGCATCGCAGGCGGGGACCAACAGAGGCTTATTTATAGTCATTTCTGTTGTGCACCATTTAGCAGAATTTTCGTTGGTGGCGGTCAAGGTGGTCCCCGCCTGCGATGCTTTCCATCAACATTTATAAATTATATTCAGTAAATTTGTATTGTGGGGCTTGTTTTACTCTTTTTTTAGTGTGCAGTCGGGTATTTTGTTTTTTTAATAATAATTTTTTTATTTATAACTTTTTAGCTGTTTTTATTTAACGAAAATGTTGTAGATGTAGAAGACTATGTATATGTAAGTACCATTTTAAATTATTTCGACGACATTTGGCTTTAGATTACGAGTGATGTTACTCCGCAACATAAATTTACCGCCAATCTGGACTGTTGGTAGTGAAGAAGAAAAAGAATTAGGTGAGTCATTACTGCTGAGGATCCCGCAAACGTTTAAGTTCAGTTAAAGAACATTCGTCGTGGAACGCATGAGTTGCTTTGCGTTGACGCAGAATTAACATGTTCCCGTGGGAATTTTGAGAAAAAACGTATCCTATATTAATTACTCCCGTGATTGAAATGAATCTAATGATACCGCATACATATTTTTTTAAAGGGAAATTTAGAAAAAATATTATTATGTCTTTATCCCGTGGGACTTTTAGGATAAAATGTATCCTATGACACTCCCGTAATCAAGACAAATCTAACGATACCTCATACATCAAAATCCATCAAGCCGTTTAGGCTACAGGAGGTCACAAAGGAAAAGACATACATACATACTTACATACACTCGAAAAACATTACCCTCCTTCTTTGGCAGTCGGGTAAAAATAGGATAAACCTCTAAGATGAAATAGAATGCTATCTTCACCCCATGTGAATTACGTGCTGTGTGACATCCAAAATCGATTTAGATATATCAATCAATCTTTTACTATATAACTATATGCATGCACGGTTGGTGCGGTGGCTGGGCAACTGGCTGCCGTGCAACGTGTCGCGGGTTCGATTCCCGCACGGAACAACTCTTTGTGTGACCCACAAATTGTTGTTCCGGTACTGGGTGGCACGTGCATATGAAATTGTATGTTTGTAACCGCACCCACGACACAGAAGAAAATCCTAGTGTGGGGCATCGTTTTTTAAAAACAAAAAACTACTTACATAATGATCAAAAATAAATATTTTTACTTTTATTAGCAAATTGTTATTATGAAGCTACAAAAAGATAACTGTTCACGATACTAACCGTATCAGTATTTTAGCGACTTTTGTTTAAGCAAGTAATTTGTTTACGGCATCAAAAAAAAAAAATGAAAAATGTCAATTTTATTTCGCTATAATAAAATTACAAATACTTGTTAGGTACCTATATCATATTTAGCCATCTTGTTGACCTGGGTTAAGGCGTTCCAAGCATGAGGGTTTGAAACCTGGCAAGTATCAATGTAACGTTTTCCGAGTTATATTTGTGGTTTCTATGATTATTTAAACACGACTAACGTATGGTAAAAGTTAGATATCGCCAATCCACATTGAGCAAGCTTGGTGATAAACCTTGTCCGTGCAGAAGAGGACTCCATAAATGGATGAAATCAATATATTTGGTAAAGAATCCAATCAAGCTAGACATAATGGTGAACCTAAATAAATAAATAAATAAATAAGAACAATCAAGAAATTCCATAATGATTTTCTGAACTGATATAGTGTGACGTTTTTTTGTTTCATCGATAAAAAAAGTAAAAGATAAATGCTAAAGAGATATTCTAACTCACAAACAAAGGCTTACAATTCTTGGAGTTGATTATAATAAGGGCTTAATTCAATAGTCTATAAGGCGATTGAACTGTCTTGTCAAGAAGGAATTCTGCTGGCTTTTTTTAGGGAGAAAAACATTAAAAGACTTCCCTCGCCCTGGGTGCAGAAAAGGAAAGTTCAAATTCTTACTGACTGAAAAAATCCCACCGTTCCCACTTGTAGATCACAAGCAGAAATGTCACATAGTTGTTTTGGGTCTGACTGTGATGTCTATGTGAAATTGCATGTCTATGAATAACTCACGACACAGGAAAGAATCATAAAGAGGGGCAGCGTTGTTTTCAAATATCCCTTCCATCTTGTGCGCCTTGGTGTTTTATACTCATTCTTCCTCCGTGAGAAGAGGCTTTTGCTGTGTTCAGTGACGTAAAATTTTTTAACTCACAGTGGGTTCAGCGGTTTGTTACAAAAAGGACGAAGTTATTAAAGAAATACCTACTATAATACTAAAATAGTATCAGAAATATAAATAATAGTCCCCTACTCCGAGGGCGCCTTCCCAGACTATTTGGAGAAACTGAACGCTATTATTGTGAATAGCTTCGCGTCTCGGGCTACGGCCTCTTTGGTACAGAAATAGTTTGGAACTCGAGAAAGGACATAGGATAGTTTTTAAACCAACAATCTACAAAGGTCAATATTTTACGCGGGCGAAGACGCGGGCAGAAGCTAGTAATACATGATATATGCGCAAAAATAAAATAAAAAATGTTCAAATAATTGAAACAGTGTGATTTTCAAGACTAAAGGAAGACATGCTTTAACGTTGTTTAAATTTTCTTGTTTTTTTTTAGATTGCTCAGTTGATGTGGTGTCCGGGCAATTTTAAATAAGACCACTCTAACTGAAATTACCAGACACAGCAACACAAACTCTTTCAATGAGTTCTTGTTCATATTAAATTACCACCAACACATTCTAGATTAGACATTAATGATCTACCAATCTCATCTCTAACTCAAAGCATAAAGATCGGTTTTCGTGTATACAATTTTATCAAGAAAATACATAATATTGCGCAATACTGTGAAGTTTGAAGTTAACTAATGCCCGGTTCCTATAATTGAGAAACGATCCGTTTTAGTTACGAATAGTAGTTTTATATACGATTCGTAAGCAGAAACCGTTCCTATAACAAACGTCTCGTCGTGCAACTTACTGACGGTTTGCAACTAACGGATGTCGGTAAGCGAATTGTATGGACATCTATGGTGTCTGTGGTGTTCCTATAAATATTTTAACCGTCAGTAGACGGTCAAGATAACTTTCGTAATGTCATTTGGTCGTAATGCGTATACAACGACGATTCGTTAAATATAGGAACCGGGCATAAGTAATTTATGTATACCTATATTATATACCGACACTATACAATGACTTGCAGTTTAAGATCAACGTCATGAATACATCGTGACCTCATCTCTATGATTATCGTTACAATCCGAATGTTATCAGCAGAATCCGGGGTACTTAAATATAAATTCGTCGAGAGCATATTTGAAGAAACTTACGATCTTGAATAATAATTAGTTGTTGGATATTCGGTTCCTCCAATGTTTTTACACCTGTTTTTCGAACGACTTGACTGGCTCCATGAAATGCCTATTTTATATCTATTAGGTCTCAGACCTCCATTATCCTATTAGGATAATTAAGTCTATTAGGGATGGTCGTCGTGGTGGCCCGGAGGTTAAGCAGCCCGCTTCTCATGCATGAGGGTGTGGGTTCGAAACTTCGCAAGTACCAATCTGACTTTTTCCGAGTTATATGTACTTTCTATGATTATTTAGACACAACTGACATACGGTGAAGGTAAACATCGTGAGGAAACCTGGACTTATAATTTCTATTTATAAGTTTGAAGATGATTATATATATAAGAAGATTATTATATATACTTTTAATTATAGAGACTTTATGGCTTATAATTTATAGAGGCGAGAGTGGACTGTTGCAGGGTTATTTTCTTGAAGATAGCTTTCCAAGGGTTGGAAGCACAGACTTTTTGGTTTAGGGAGAGGTTGGGGTAGGAGAAGGATTGGGCCTCCGGTAACCTCACTCACACGGCGAAACACAACGCTGTGGTTGTTTGACTCCGGTTTTCTGTGAGGCCGTGGTGTCACTCCGGTTGAACCGACCCATTCGCGTCGAAGCATGGCTCCCCCACACTAATTGAAATTAATAAAATATGCACAAGAAAAGTTATGTTACCTAAATATGAATGATGCGATGACGTCGAACGTAGGGAACGAAATTAAGATTATTTTATCGATATTTTTACTCTTATCGATTTACTCGTGATCATGACTGTAAGAATAATTTCGTATAAATTTACCTATTTATGATATTAATGTATTAGTGTTTTAGTAACGTTCGTGAACCGTTGATAATAGTGTATAGCTTCTATATTTAATAAAATGTGAGTTTTTATTTATTACACTTTTAAATAAGCCTGGTAGTAGTAACTCGTAGTTTTTTTTTTCGACCAGGAATCACTCCTTTTGCTTTTATAAATTAACTAGATACTCTCGCGCCGTTTCACCCGCTGCTCAGCTCCATTTGATCGTAGCATGATGTTTTATAGCCTATAGCTCAGGAATATTGTAGCTATCTACCAGTGAAAGAATTTTGGCAATCCGACCAGCGGTTCCAAAGATTTCCCCCTACATATAAACTTCTAAATTTTACCTCTTTATAATATTAGTATCGATAAAATTTAAATATATTTTTGTGTCTCTATTCTGTCATCATTCCTGAATATCCGTCCTCAATTCGTCATCAGCGTAACAAAGTTCACATCTCTGATGATAATGACCGTCTTTCCCATTCAACTACCTTCGACATTCTTTACTACTATATTTACGTTAAGAAAACTTAGTGTTTCTCATCCCAAAATAAATAGAAGATATTTATACATTGCAATGCTAAATATTGGTATTTTTTTACAGAATGATGCCGAAATACGTGTTCCACTATTTTCCTATAAAGGCTCTCGGCGAGTCAGTCCGGCTACTGTTGGCATACGGTGGAGAAGGGTTTGAAGATCACCGGATACCTTTGGAAGATTGGCCTAAGTTTAAACCAAGTAAGTTCATTTAACAGAAATATAAACAGTATTATTTTGGCAATAATTGGTTCAACGAATGAATAATAATAATTATTTTAAGGGATATCTACTAGCTTTTGCCCGCGACTGCGTTGCGTGGAATAGTGACTTCCTGCAGATTTTTGGCATAAAAACTATCCTAAGTCCTTTCTCGAGTTTCAAACTAAGTTTGTATCAAATTTCACAGAAATCGGTTCAGTAGCTTAGGCGTGAAGAAAAGACAGACAGACAGACAGGTTCCTTTAGCAATTAGTATAGATAAAGATGTCGGCGACCACGTTAGCAATGAGCGTTAGCCACGGACACCATTGAGGAGTTATAAGTACGCTACCAGTTTTTTGAGATTCAGACTTAGAGGGGAGGAGGATTATTCCGTTGGTGACGTCAACACGACGAAGCACAACGATGTGGTTGTTTCACGCCGGTTTTCTTTGAAGCCGAGGTATCACTCTGGTGGAGTATGTCGGAGCAATGTACTCTCTCACACTTGAAATTTTATACCATGTAAATGACAGCTACCAAAAGGTAACATTTGTGAAAATGCATTTTCTACTAATGAATATCCATGAAATCATTAGGTATTAATGTTTTCGGGGTTGCGGGGTAAGCGCAATGAGGCACCGCGACCTCGGCCTAGAGCAGGAGAAGGAACAGAGGGGTTTTTAGTCAGTAAGAGTCTGACACTCTCTCCTGCCCGACCCTGGGCGGGAGAAGACATTTGATGATTTTCCCCTCACAAAAAAAAAGGTATTCATGTTTATGCCTATATGCACATCGCATTGAAGCTCTTTAGTTACCCGTTTAAAGAAATTACTGCCTATATTATTTTAATTTTAAATAATTATTTTCAGTGTAATAAGCCCTGATATAGGTTGCCTATTTTATAATTCTGAATCAAAAGCACTTGTACTTATGTTTTCATACAAACAAAAGATTAGATTATTTCTAATTACTATGTTTCTTATAGCGATTACATTTCAGTTGATTGATAAGAAGTACTGTGTTGATGACTTGCATTTGTTGATTAATATAAAAATGTGGTGGCAATATTAAGGCAAAATATTTTCTAAAATGAAATTATTTGATAACGTAATTATCTCAATCAAATGAGTTTTGATTTCACAATTTTAGCAAGCTACAAATTAAATTTTATTCTTTAACTAACTTTTGCCCGCGACTTTGTTTGCGTGGAATAAAAAGCTGCAGATTTTTGATAAAAAATTCTTATGTTCTTTCTCGATTTCTAAAGTACCAAATTTCACACAAATAGGTTCAGTAGTTTAGGCGTGAAGAAAAGAAAGATAGACAGACAGAGTTAGATACTTTCGCATTTATAATATAAGTTTGGATTTTGTAACGATATTCGTCTCTTAAAGGAGTTACTTACACAATTTTAATACGGATAAAAACATTTAGGTATATCAGTCCTCAAAATCTTCCTCCTTAGAATAATAAATGTGAAAATTTGTGAGAATGTATATCTTAACACATAGGTTACCTTTTATTCACAACGCGGGCAAGCCTCGGCTCGAAGCTAGTGTCTTCGTATTTCTATAATCGTCTTTATAAAAATCTTCTTTCATTTTCTAGACACTCCCTTTGGACAGATGCCAGTGATAGAATTCAATGGCAAGCAGTATGCTCAGAGCATCGCCATCGCTCGGTACCTGGGCAACAAGTACGGTCTGGCTGGAGAGACCCTTGAGGACAAACTGGAGATCGACCAGAACGTCTACCTCATCAATGATCTTCGTACGAGTGAGTGACACGAAAATTCTGAATTTGAAAAAGTCGGGTGGTGATAGATTTTATTACTAATTTGTTCTGTTGTATAAAATACCGATAGTAAAGTAAATTTTTCAAGTCGATGGAATAGAATTATAATAAAGTAATGTCAATTAATTTGTTTTCCATCGCAATAGGTACATATTATTATCTACTATCGACTCATCCCTGCTTTACATAATTGTTTAACTCCCTACCTAGCTAGCGACTCAAAAAAATATTATTTCTCAATTTTCCTCGCTGCTTTCCTAAAATTGTCTTTTATGAAATCAAACTACTGATGTTACCAATCATATTTATCTGTAGGTATAGATTATTTCCTGAAACAAAACATTTTGAAATCGATGCAATGATATATTTTTCTTACTTTTTACAGAGGCTGCGTCGGCAAATTACGAAAAGGATGAGGTGATCAAGGAGCAGAAATACAAAGAGTTCTCCGAAGGAGTTTTCCCAGACTCCCTGGAAAGGATAAATGCTCTCATCATTAAGAACAATGGCTACATCGCTTTAGGAAAGGTACATAAATACAGATTTTGGTATACCTAACAATGTTTAAATATAGTAAGTATTTTTTTGTGAGGGTAATATCTTCGAATGACTTTTCCCGCCCAGGACCGGCAAGGAAAAGTGTTAGACTCTTACTGACTAAAAACTCCCCTGGTCCTTCTCCTGCTCTGGGCCGAGGTCGCGGTGCCTCATTGCGCTTACCCCGCAACACAAGTATGCCTAAGATATTTAGATATTGTTTAAATTTTTTAGATTTTTCACTTCACTATTTTCTTTTATTGAAATTATTTTATGTTATGATTGCCTCATGGTCAGTAATTGGCGCCGCCCACACAAACAACACCAGAGGAGTTAGGTACGAGTGCTTTGCCATCCTTTAATGCATTTGGGATGGGGGAGGGAAAGGATTGGGTCTCTGGTAACTCTCCGGCCACTCACACGACGAACACAATGCTGTGGTTATTTCACGTTGGTTTTCTCGCCGTGATATCACTCCGGTAGAGCCAAAAAGCATTGCTCCCCTAAGTTCACTTAGGTATATTCAAACGTACAAAATATTAGACAGTGTTAGGTTCCAGTAGGCGTCGATAGATGGCGTTATGAGGTATCTTTTAACTAATGTACACTTTTATTCCATTACCCAGCCTTGCAACAGGTCGTGGACAGAGTATATTCTTTACCCAGCGTCAAGGCTTATGCTAATGCAGTTTCTGCATAGTTTAAATCGTATTATTAGAAAAAAAACTAATATGCAATGTAAGCGTATTTTAGGACAAAACCACCTTCAATATTGTTTTTTAAGATTATGCTTAAGTTCTATTAAATAGATGTTTAATTAATGGAACTATTATTTATTTTCTAATATCAATACACCACTCACTCCACAACTTGCATGTAAACTAGCGCCATCTAGGTTTCGTTAAAGTTATTACCTGATGACTGTATATAACTTTACGTAATGAACAATAGATGGCGTTACCATGCTTATTTTATTAGAAGAATGCGAACCTTAGAAATTGGCAATGAGCATGATCTCACTTTAAAATTTTTGATTGAAATAACAGATGATAAACTGTTGAGTTTCTGGCCATGGTAACCTATATCCTTGTGTATTATAACCGTATGCATTAACGTATGTAACCTTTTGAAGTGTTACTTTAACTGTACTCGTGGGTATGCCTCTAAAAATCAAGAAAATACACGTGTTTGGACAGATTTAAATAGATATGTGAAAAAAAACAACGAATATTTTTTAATTAACCTACTTTTATAATTAAATTGGAACATTCTTATTTTAATTATTTTATTTTTTAGTTAAATATGACTGCTAATCGTATCCATAGATCGATCAACAGTTTTTTCTGGTAATTTTTCCTTTCTTCTTCTGTCGCTTTCTTCAACTTGTTTGATGGTGTCCAAGAGAGGCGTGTTCTTTGTCTCTGGAGTCAGGCAGAGTGTCAACGAGGTTATGATCGCTGAACAACCGAATAACGTGAATGGTAATGCTGTGGATATGGTGTTCTGGAAAAGATAGAATAGGAAGTCTATGACAGATAATATATCAATTTAAATGATAGAAATTTTGTGTAGAGCAAGCGTCTTTTTTATGTGTAATTTTAATGATTTCGTCTAAGCCTTTTGTTCAAAGGACAATGGTTTTTTTTAAGGTTATGTTTCTGATTTATCTGATGCAAATGCAATTCTTATTCTATTCACGCAACATTTATGAGGAACGTTGTACTACTCTGGGATTTTCTCTGTGTGTCCTAAGTGCATACAATTACCTAACAACATATAATTTTACGTACATATCTCACCCAAATGTGGAATACTAAGTTGTGGATCACACAGAGAATTGTTCCATGCAAGTATCGGACCCGCGACACATTGCACGGCAGCCGGTTCATCAACTGTGCAGTCATTTCCACTACCTACTAATTTTAAATGTATGTCACTATAAATGTATGATACCTATCGTATCGATTACATCGACATATTCTAGTTTTATAGCACTTGTAGACATGGCGAACGAATTAACATTTTTAAGTGTGATCTGATATTTACCAGTATTGGAGACATAGGTGCCAGCATACCACCGAGCCTGGATGCAAAGGATCCTAGTCCGAGCAGGGTGCCCCTTACACTCGTGGGGAACAGCTCCATGGTGTAGGTGATGGCTCCAGTGAAACACGCTGAGATGACTACCTTACCCAACAGGAACAACGTGATCTTTGCCCATAAGAATCCTGAAATATTAAGTTTCATATTTGAGGTGAATTTAGAGTTCATTTTACATGGCGTTATTTTAAAACGCTTTGGTAAGTGCATTTCTTATTGTCTGAATTAATTCAAGTATTTTATAATTTTTTTGCTGTGTTTATGCAGAAAAAAAATATGGAAGAAAATTTTAGGAAAGTAGAAGAACATGTTCCGTAATCAAGGTCAAGCAGCAAGGCATATGGGCCCAAGTGCGTCCTAGGCGAGCACCAGTAGACCTTTAGTCGATAAATAATGTATTATATTAAAGTTGTACTCACTATCAGGAACTAAGGCTGAGATGATACAAACTGTCCCACTAATAAAGTATCCTGCCATCAAAGGTATCTTTCTCCCGTACTTGTTCATCAGATACAAGCTAATGATCTCTCCTGGAAACGACATCACGGTCGACAGCAAGAAGTTCACATACTTATCACCAGGCAACCACACAGAGTTTATCATCAACCCGTAGTACACGAAACTCGATGTAAATCTACACATCCCGACGACTAACAACCTCTTTAGAATCACTTTAGATTTGAATATTTCACTATAACCTTCTTTCACTTGATTTTCGGCTATGTCAAACTTATATTTTAGTTCGACATCAGTGATTGTATCCAGTTCTTCGTAGTCGATATTTATTTTGTTCATTTTAGCAATTCTTTTGATTGATTCTTTTGCTTTCTCTATTTTCCCGTTAACGATTTGCCATCTTGGGCTTTCGTAGATGATGAAGATGTAGAAAATGAAAAAAATGAGAGGTCCATTAATGATTCGGAGTAATGTCTTCCAGTATGGCACGAACATGGCGATTACAGCGAACAAGCATTCGCCAAGGTAGATGGCGTACGCGAAGATCACTCCTGACAGCAGCCTATGTCTGGCGCTTGCTATCTCGACCACTGCGAGCAAGCAAGAAAAGTATGTTATGAAGGTTTTATACGTTTCATACAATGAACATTATATTTTATTTGGTTGGCTTTAGGGGTTGGGTTGACAAAATTGTTTTATTTCGAAATTTTTGACGGGTACGGTAGAAAGTGTCAGCCACAATATCTATTAAACTATTTTCTCGTGGTGAGTTGTGCGTAAACAAAATAGTATTTTTGGACCATAAAAAGCATGGTAGCGAGTTATTTAACCATAAAAGCGTACTTACATATGACCATAGCTGCAGCATAGGAACCTCCTGTGACGGATGCCTCCAAGAACTCGATGACGACGTACACGTAGTAAGAAGTCACGAAGGTTTTGATAAGGCCGATGCAGCCACAGACCACACAGAATATAAATGTTGGCATCCGACCGAATCTGGAAGATAGTTTACGCAAACATTTTAGTATCAAGAAGTTGATATGCAAAAATATGTACTTCGTATTTAAAAGTATGACTTAATGATTTAGGTATGGTCTAATGGAAAAAGTTTTGTAAAATATAGATTTTTTGGTTTACTAGATGGACAGTTAGTTGTTGGAAGCGAATGGCGATAACATTTGAAAATCATAATCAGCTTTTAATATTCTTAAAATGGATTATGTACGATTATGGATTCATTTTAACATGTAGATAAAATGGTTTTTGGAGAAGTGAGTAGGCACCTACCTATCTGACATCCACCCCGAGACTATCATAGAGACCAGCATTCCAGTGCTGTGGATGGTCCCAATCAGGTTTATCTTCCATGGCTGACATGCCAGATTTAACTGTAACACATAAGAACATTGCTTTGTTAGTTGATGCCCTATTTGCTCATTTGAGGCAAGACTTAGACTGACCATAACAGATCATAGGACCATTAAATAGATATTTCGAAAATAGCGATTTCATAAATTCCTGGTAAAGGATAGAGCTGGGAATTTGTCCCTGTTTTATGAGAATATTTTTGTAATTTTCTTGCCTCACGTTACGTACGTAAATAATTGTCGCAAACATACATATTGATGCGTAGAACAAATACAAAAATAATTGCGTAACAAATGAGAAATCAAGGCAACAGAAAAAATCAATAAGGAATAAGCTCTAAAACTTGGATATAGACGACGGACTTTTTAACGACAAAGACTTTTTTCAATTAATCCTATAAATAAAAAGGCATTTTTGAAACGTTACAATTGATTTTTTTTATCTGTCAGTCTGTCCATCGGTAAAGCTAGGTGCTTGTTCCAAAAATGTAGGTACCTATAGTGGAAGAGAACCAACTGCATTGTTTTTAGCAAACTTATTTTTTTTATTTTTTTGTTTTTAATAAAAAACGTTGCCCCACACTAGGATTTTTTCCTGTGTCGTGGGTGCGTTTACAGACATACAATTTCACATACACATGACACCTAGACCCGAAACAACAATTTGTGGATCACACATAGTGTTGTTCCGTGTGGGAATTGAGCCCGCGACACGTTGCATGGCAGCCAGTTGCCCAGCCACCGCGACAACCGTGCAGTCAAATATTGATACTACAAATAAATAAACTAATTAAAATACTAATTTCAATGAAATACATTTAAACTTCTATATTAGAGAACAACGTAACGAAAGTACCTAACACTTCAAAATTAGCGAATTATCCAAAACCACAAAAAAGATTGGAATCTTATTTGGAAAAATTTCCATGTGACCTGGGATTCTTACTACCTATCAAATACCGAGTTATTTAACAAATATTAACTATCACGTATATCAGCTTAAACATATTGTTCTGGTTATAGTTGTGTTGTTTATTGTACGGGAAAACCACATCAATATTTATTTTGTTCAGTTTTCATAGCAGTAATAACTAAATTTACTCGGCGGAGGTTAAGGAGCCCGCTTCTCATGCATGAATGTGTGGGTTCGAAACCTGGCAAGTACCAATGTGACTTTTTCCAAGTTATATGTACTTTCTAATGATTATTTAGACACCACTGACATACGGTGAAGGTAAAAATCGTGGGGAAACCTTGATTTAGCAAGCGTGGTGATTAATGCTCTAACCTTAACCGTATGAGAAGAGGCTTTTGCTCAGCAGTGGGTACTTATAGGTTGACGATGAATAACATAATAGAACTTAAACTGTTTTGCTGCTCCTGAGCCAATAGACCACTACAGACGGGGCCAACCCCGGCTGAACATCAGACCTATAATAGGTCTGATGTTTAGGGTTGGTTGGGCAATAAGGCATCAAGGCCTCGGCCTAGAGCAGGAGAAGGAACGGGATGGCTTTAAATCAGTAAGAGTCTGATACTCCCTCCCACCCTACGCGGGAGAAGCCATTTGATGATTTTTCCCGCATAAAGAATCTGTATTGATGTTATAGCAAAAGTTACACTAGGTGCCACTTACAGACTCTTAATAACAGTGACCCGCTTAAACCTTTAAGAAAGAAACTACAGACAAATGATTGTCTTTTTTTACCTTACGTAGGGTGTGAAGAGATGACGAGACTTTTATTGATTATAATACTATTAGCTTTTGCTAGCGACTTTTTTTCGCGTGGAATAGTCACTTCCTGGAGATTTTTGGTATAAAAACTATCCTATGTCCTTTCTCAAGTTCCAAACTATGTCTGTACCAAATTTTAAAGAAATCGGGTCAGTAATTTAGGCGTGAAGAAGACAGACAGGCAGATAGACAGAGTTACTTTCGCATTTATAATATTGGTAAAGAAGTATAGATAATACTATAGACCACTTCGTTCCTTCTCTTGTTGCAAGTCGGGGTACATTTTTGGGCTTACACCCGATTTAGAAGATAGTTGCGAGTATATTAATAAAAATGCGTGTACATTGGACAGCATAATTGCTTGGGTACCTTAGTGCTTAAGCGGCGACCAGACGGCACGATTCTTTGGGACCTAAGTCACCAAGACTTAGGGCGATCGGGCTCTTTCGATCGCCCATTTTAGGAACACTTACACCCTAACAGTGATCATACCACTTAATCCATCGGTACTTAGAAACTTAGGGCACAATGCATCGAACCGTCTTTTTTAAACGACGACAAACGAGCAGACACATTACCTGATGGTAAGCAATCAGCGCCGCCTATGGGCATCCGCAACAACCGAGGAGTTACGAATTCGTTGCCGATTTTGGGGATTAGAGGTTTGGAGATTTTGGGATTGGGAAGGGGAAGGATTAGGTCTCCTGTAACCTCATTCACACGGAGAAACACGACGTTATGGTTGTTTCTCGGCAGTTTTTTTTTGAGAGGCTGCGGAGTTGCCCCGGTCTATCTGACCTATTCGTGTCGAAGCATGGCTCTCCTTCACCCTCTGATCGGTGCTTAATATTTCGTTGAATGTAAATAAGCCACCTTACCTCGGCAATAATGGTATTGTTTGATTCGTAAATCCATTCTGTGCATGTCTTCAGCTCTTCAGTGAAGCTCTGGTTGGTGCAGTATGGTTGGGTATGGTCTTCCAGCAGGACAGGGGAGGAACATCTGTCTATAGTTTGATTTGGCCACCAGGCTGGGTAGAAAGTTGAGTTTTGGTCTTCGCACTCGTTTACTCGACATCTGGATGAGAGAAAAAGAAATGTTTTCTTGTGAAAAGTGTCGGTATAACTTACCTAAGCAAACCCTATACTAGTTCAACTTAATTTCTGTTTTAATATATGTAGTACTTAGTTTAAGTCATTTCGCAGATATTGGTAGATTTTGAGGTATTAAAACAAAATAGTATGGTATTATTCGTTTCTGTTCAATTGATTGCATGGTTGGCGCGGGTTTTTTCCCGCCCGAAAAAACACTACGTGATCCACGAATCTGGGTGTGCAGTGTATGTGAAATTATATAATTGGTAGCAGAGCAACGTCTTTTTTTTGGAGAAAACAACCTGTTTACTTGTTTTCGGTAGACTTATCAACACAGCAGCCTTACATTATTACCAATACTACATCTTTATTGATGTTTTATAATAATCGGCGGGAAGTCAAATCACTTCAATGAATGAAACTTATGGTTTTAGCGGTTGGACGGCCATTCCCTTACCTAGACGCTGTGTTGTTTCTGATCCTCAACCAATTTCGTACTAAATGGAATCCAAATCAATCTAGTTACGACTTTATTAACAAGACATTCAAAAATGAACCTTAAATTCACTCACCTATAATTGATATCTCCGGCAGCAAATATGTAATTAATATTGATCATAGTGACGAACATTGCAGGGAAACATATCAATGAGTATTGTATTATCTGATATCTACCAAAAGTTTCCAATACTTTAGAAACTTCACACACTTTATTGCTTTCGCACTTTTTGTCAGCCATTTTTAAAATATAAGTACACAAAAAGCTTTTTAAATGAATAAAGTTTATAAAATAAAACTAATTCTTAATTGTGAAATTTAAAAATAAAAACACAATTATTGGCAGTATTAATTTTCGAATATAGAACACGACTGAAATTTGTATTCAGCCACGCCAAACGCACCATTTAAAAAAAAATGATTTTATTTTAACGGTTTAAAAAACTACATCTCTTTTGAAACATAGTCAATTTGTCACTATGAAATCAAGACGCGTACACTCGTATCGTAGTAACAATAAAAGTAATTATCTTCGTATGGAATTTAGCTACAGTTTCGTAACAATTCAATTGAGATCAATTTGTCTGTGTGTCTGTCTCAATTAAATGTCTGACAACTTGGCTCCTAGTCTTTTCGGAGGCTGAAATTTAAATATTACTATCATGGCGCCTCACCAAAATCGTTATTTTTTTAACAATTTTGTTTTTAAGAAATTTGATTTATTAAAGATTATTCGTATGGGGTATCTGTCGAAACGTTAACCAAGATCATCATTAATGATGTGTAATACAGGTTGGCGCCCAGTTTAATTTCAAGTGATGGCTACGTAGCTACACACGCGAGTAATTTAGGTTCTAATAGCAAGATGGAATGGCAACCAAGAGTCACACAAGGTTAAGTAATAGAGCTGGGCCTCTGGACTTAATGAATGAGTACATACTGTCGTACCTACTCATAGTCACTTAAGGTTTAAATGAAACATTTTTGCTTGCTATCTATGCTATGCTTTGCTGTGTGAGTGAAGTTACCGGAAGCTCAATCCTTCCCTTCGTTCCGCCCCTCCCCAATATCTAAATCCCCGAACGGGGGTTCGGGGATTTAGATATTGATATATCCTCAAAAAGCCGGCAACGCACTTCCTTGACGTTGCAGGTGTCCAATGGTGGCGCTGATTTTATAAAATCAGGTAGGTAATCTACCAGCTAGTTAGCCACCGTATCACATAAAAGAAATAAGTAATTTTCCCTAAGCACGACAGTTACCTACTGAAATAATGAGCACGGGTCCAATTTCGTAAGACAGTTTTTTAATCATTGAATTTGTTTATTGTAATCACAGACTCAATAAAGCTAGGAGGATGTATGATATATACACTTAATTATTATTATTTGTTGATCGGTCAGCAATCGCACTGACGTATTACATGATGGTAAGCAATCAGCACCGCCCATGGACATTGGACATCCGCAACAACAAACGAATTACGAGTGCGTTGCAGACCTTTTGGCGATAAGGATCTTGGATATTTAGGTATTGGGGGAGGGGAAACACAACGCTGTGGTTGTTTCACGCTGGTTTTCTGTGAGGCCGTGGTATCACTCTAGTCGAGTCGCACTATGCGAAACATGGCTCTCCCACTCTAATGGGAACTTAAATTTTAATAGGGAACAAAGCCGCGTGTATTCGTAGTATTATATTTAATTTATGTGTTTTAATTACATCACAATACACATGTATTATGTACAAGAACGCAATAAAGATAAAACTGAATTCGTGTTTGTTGTAGAATTTAATTGTTAACTTTAAACAATTGATTGCAAAATGAACGTGTATTAGATTTTATATAAATAAATTATATTGTCATACACATACATCATGTAAACGTAAATATAATAGTCTGCATAGTAGTTGAAAGAAAGAAAGAAAATGCATTTATTCGGCATCAGACATGAAAGCCAAAACAAAACAAAAATACAACACAATACCTACAACACAAAAAAAAACATGTTGAGTATCCAGGAACGAAAAAAGAGACGTATTTTAGTCAAAGATGGCTGACCCTAACTCGAATCAGAGCGGGAAAATTAATTTGATGATTTCATCCGTCAAAAAAAAAAAACAATTACAATTTTTTTCTTTCTTTCTTCTTTTTTTCTTTGGCAATCCAAACCCATGTTTATTAGTTAGCCCAGCTTCCCTAACCAATTCTGTTAATAGATCCCATGAGATTCTATAATCCCCATAACAGCGTCAATCACATGATTGTTTATTTTAGTTTTATTAATAGACGCGACATTAGTTTTACAACATTTGTAGACGAAAATATGAAAATTGAGATAACACATGATTGTTATTTGTTTAAGAATTATATTTGTAGACTGTAGCCTTCAATTATACGTATAAGACTAAGCTATAAGACTTAAATACATATACTTTTAATAAAAAACAAAATCTTCCTTAATAAAAAACAGAAGACTAATAAAGTACTTTGTACCTATGTATTTACATATGTCATACTGGTTTTTCCTATAGTAAGTCTTAGGCAGATTAAGATAAATAATGATGCAAGGTTCACCAGTCACCATCATCAGCCAAATTCTGTAGTATTTACACGGAAAAGGTATGAGCATTAATCGCCACACTTGCTCTAGGCAGATTGGCGATGGCAAATTGTATAATAAGAAATAGAAGTTCACCACTACCTACTAATAATAATATTGTTGTCTGGATATACTTACTTCTTTATACTTCTTTTCCAATTTAGCGGAGAGTAAGTATAAGTGAAATAATTTCCTCCTGGTCTAGTTTGGACGTTTGCTTTTAGGAAAACCTTTATCAAAGAAAATCTTCATCTTGTACAATATAATATGTTTATTGTACAGGTTAAGCAAAGTTCACTTTTTTAGGGTGGAAAATCATCAAATGGCTTGTCTTGCCTAGAGTGAGGCGAGAGGTAATGTCTCTTACTGACTAAGAACCAACCAATTCCTTTTCTTACTCTTGGTCGGGGCCGCGGCTCGGAAACAAAGAAACACATGTTTTTGGTTATTTATAATGACTGAAGTCGGCTTTTGGACGTTACCATACATACCTTTTTGTAAAATATTTTGCTACCAAACCGGATTAATTTTACTAAATAAAAAAAAAATATTAAATACTTATAGAACATTTTATTCAACCTTCAAATTCAACAGTTGGACTTGGACAAAAACCTTTCCGAGCTATTATAAGTTCTGAGTTGAAGCACTTGGCGCACTCCTGGTTCCAGTAGGTGCGGCCATCTGATGCGCAGACAGGGTCCAAGATCCCATGGCACATGGGGCAGCTGGCCAGGTCTGCTGCAGACAACCCTTGGTACGGGAGAGCTGATGCCATTGTTGAGATTAGCAGAAGGGGTATTACTGTAAAAACGAGACAAAGCGTCTTATATTTTGAAGGTTTTAAAATTGTTAGAGAAATCGAGAAACCGCAATCTCAAAGGTTGCGGGACCGAAATTTCAAAAACCAATGGATTGTGAGAGAGCCTTGGTTTGGCGTGAATGGGCTCAATCAGAGTGAAACCACCGCCTCACAGAATACAGGCGTGATACAACGTTTCTGTTGAGTTTTGCCGTCTGATCTACCTGAGGCCCAATCCTTATGTCTTTTCCTTCCACAATCCTCAAATCTCTAACAACCCGTAAAGACATCCATGGATTATATTGTATGTATGTATTAAATTCCGTAAAAAAAGAAAAATGGTATTTTTTTAAATCAATCTAAAAGGCAATCATAAAAAAGTAGGTATTCATCATCGTAATATTTCCAACATTTTAAAAAGGAAATAGGTATCGATTTTTAAAATAAATAAAAAAGGAAGAGGCTTAATTCGACCGGTCATGATCTGTTTAACGATTTAGCAGAATAAGTCTGTATAGAGGATATAGTAAAAGATTATAATATAATGAACACATAAAAACTTACTGAATTTCATGGTTGTATTTGCAGCTTGGAACGTAATAAAGTAATACTAACTTAGGCAAATACTATTGTTTATTTTCAAACCGGTGTTTGTACAGAATGACGTCTAAATAATGTCTAACACGTAAATCGTTATTAAGGATATTGTTAGCGCTGCGCCGGAGCTTATTATGCGCTAATTTGATAGCAGTTAACTATGTAGACTTTATCAATACGTGGTTAAATATGTAAACAGTAATATTGTCTGTCTTTTTGTTCAAAATCTTGTCTACTTAGTTAAGATTTTGAATGTTTTTTTTTGTCATCCAATTATTTTTCTCAACCCACTCGAGATTGTCAGAGTCTAGCTGACTAAAACATTCCGTTTCTCTTACTACAGATAGATGTATGATATCATTTTTAGCTTCGGGGTCAAGATTTTGATGGGAGCTGTTATTTTGTGGAAATTTGTTTAATAAATAAGATCATTGTCAACGTCAGATACGAGAGTTCGAAACAATTTAAACGATTGGCACTGGTCGTCCACACCTCACTTCTGTGCATCTTCAGGCGGGGCTTGTTGGGGATAGGCCGCCGCGAAAGTAGGCTGCACACGACTGATTTCTGCACCCTCAAGCTCACGTGGAACCAAAGACGATTTTGAGTCACTAAGAATCTAAAAGTCACGACAGGGCTTCATGAGAATTTTTCACCTTGAGGTAAAAAAACGGAGCTTTGATCACGAATCACGAAGAAAATAAAATAACTAAATTACAAAGCATAATTACTTAAGGTTTATCACGAAACCGACAGTAAGACAAGCTGCTGTAGAAACAATAAATATGAATATGCTCATATTTATTGTGAAACGCTGCGAAAGAATCCACGGGTAAAATTTAACTTACATTAATAATAAGGAAACACAAAGGTGAAAAACATAGATGTCGACGGCAAAGTTAGCTAACCCAATAAAAATGAAGGATTTTCAACCTTACTATTTTGTTACAGAGTAGAAAATTTATAAAAATGATTTGAGGTGCTCCGATATACACTTCCTCTCAGAGCTTATCATCTTGCTTACGTTTGTATTAATTAGTTTAATTATTTGGCAATATTTATGCAACTTATAAAATATGTTACAAAGAAGGATGTGTATTATTAGCAATTCTAAAAATTTTATAGCCAAATAGAAAATCCTAGTCGAGGGCAACGTCGCACTCAAATGAACTACTCTTTATTTACATGTTAGGGTATAATGTTAATTTTCCCCAGCCACCGAAGAAGGCGACATTCCGGGCGTCAGGGATCGAGAGATGATCTCCGGCCACCGTAAGCGCGGGTCTTTGGACGGCGAGTAAGGGTAGCTCGCTGCCCGACCAGAACCAAACCCAAGCGTACGGCCTCAAATAGCCAATAGACCACCACAGACGGGGCCCTATAGGGCTGATGTTCAGCCGGGGTTGCGGGT